AAAATTAAAAATGTATTACCTCTATAAAATGAAGAAGTCGTATACCATTTTACCGATGTCTTATTGATAACAGAAGACTATCGATTAACTTTTAACCAACAAACACAGTACCTAACAGTACTGCACATATTTATAGCGACCTGCTTTTATCAAGAGAACGCGATTGGTGTAATCGAAAAAATTATTATTATAACCAATTGTATCAGGGATTGTTTTACCGTAATTGTTTGTTTAACTGCACCAAAACACATACATTCTTCTGTTGATTGTGACCTTGCACGAATTCGGTTACGCTCAGTAACCACACTTATAACCTGGCACGATCTCGGTATTCTTTGGATACCACGAGATCGCCAACAAAAACATCTCGACTACAGCCATCAACTGACTTCTGGTATTTGGCCTACAGGGGATCTTATCAGTTAACTGGCACGTAATCTTCCTGTAGTGGTGATCATGGTCAACCGCGACTCGACGCCATACTACATATCAATGATAACAATATTGTTCGTTGAACATGTCAGTTCATAGGCAAGATCGAATTCTTACAACGTTAAAGTTATATACATGTTGTATCATACATTTTACATAGAAACATGGGAAACCATTTTGGTGAGTAAGGATATTGTAAGTATTAGTAAACTTGGAACTCCGCCTGTAGCTTGTAGTGTCAGTTATTATGGCAAGCCCACATACCTTATTCTAGCTTTCGGACATCCTATTTAGTTCATTTTACTTGAGCCATATTTTGACCTTGTTAATTATTCGCTTGGCAGTCTTGATTGTTTTTGTATGAGCGCATATGTGTGTACACTTCATGTCCCATGACTCATCACATGTCTGTTGTTTATTATGTCTGCCTATAAATATTGAGTAATGCCTGGTTTGAAATGGAGTTGGCTTCCCAGCCATCTTCCATGCGTGTCATTTTTACTTGGCTTCACCGTGTGCTTGTTCGCTGTACGCTTGCGGATTTTTATTATTCATTAACAGTAAATTATCTCTACAACTGGTGTTCAGGCTTCTGAATAACCTCGAGTAAATCCGTGATTCGACTAGGAGATTAAGCCTACCTTAAATACTCAGTTTTACGGGATATTATTTATTGGAGTCAGATATTGAGGACATTAACCTCAACATATTAGCAAGCCGCCGTCACAACAAGCTCATCTAGGGCTACTGCCTTTCTCAAGCCCAAACAACAGAGGAGGGTTGGGTGTGAGGTCATCATCCCCATCCCGTAAAAATACTCTTGCTAAAAAACGGCAACCAGAATAAACAAATTAAACCACTTAAACTCCCCATGTAAGCCACTTATTCAGAAAGTATATAATTTAAAGACAAAGAATGAAAGACCATCACTGAGATTCAAGAACAAAGGAGCAGATGGGTCAAACACTTGGGGACGTTTTAAGTAGACCAGCTCCATTGGATCCGCAGAATATCGAATCAGCACACAAAGATATTCCTGTAGTTGTCACACTCCCAAAGATCGAAGAAATCAGGCTGGCCATCAGACAAATCAAGATTGGGATGGCAGCAGGATCTGACAATATACGGTCTGAAGCACAGAAGTCAGACGAAGAATTAACTGCATGAATGCTACACATTCGACTCGAGGAGACTAAGTAAAGAAAAATGTGTCGATAACATGAAACATTTTCAACCGATAGTTATTATACTGAATAAATAATTCAGTTAACATTCAACCTCGAGATCAACAGACTAGATTCCGTAACGACAGACTAAATGATGACACTACGGATCACAGTTGAACAATCAAACGAATTTAATTCGTGACTATACATCAACTTCCTTGACTATGTGAAAGCATTTGATTGCGTGGATATGAGAACGTCATGGAACCTTTTTCGATGCTATGGTGTTAGCAGCAGAAAATATGGAACTCAAAGCAACTGTCAACCAATGTCAATGTCAGAATCTTCATTACGAACGTCAAGACACTTCTACTGTATGAAGAAGAAACTTGGAGAACATCATCAAAAAGGCACAAGTATTCGTGGACAATTGCCTACACAAGATACTAAATGTCCGTTGGACAGATATCATCAGCAACAGCCTATCGTGAGAGAGAACAAAGCAGCTTCCAGTTGAAAAAATAATTAGGAAAAGATTGTGTAATCGGATGGGACATACATCATGAGAATTACCAAACTATATCACGAGGCAAGAGCTGACTTGAAAAAAAAACGGAAAAGTGGAAGAACAAGGAACACATTGAGTTTGGAATTGAAAGCATACATGAAAAAAGATGAATAGCGACTCGAAAGGATTGTCTAGGGAGGAACTGGATAGAAGGTGCATTATGGATGACGTATGCTCATCCTCAATAAGTAACAGATATATGTAATTAAGTAAACCTCTTGTGTAATATGTGAATTCGGGGTAGCTTGTAGATGCTATAAAATTAAACTGGATTTCGAAAAATAAAGCAACCAAGGTTCAAAGTTGTTTGCAATGTAAAACAACACATAACTGTTCGGCAAATGTACTATTATTAATATGAAGTAATGTTTCATTTTGGCATGTCAAGCTAATGTTATGGACCACAATTCACATCATGAGTCGGCAACTAAGACATTTCCTCCGCTGGGATATTAACAAGGTCGAATCAGTCAGATTTCCAAACTAAATATTTAAAGCGATATGAAAGCGAATGATTGAATAAATTTGTGTGGTAGATCTGTATCAAAAGTTGACTGTTTTTTTCCAAACCATCCTAAACAAAAAATATCTTACAGATGGTGACGTTGAAGAACGTATATATTGCAAACGTTTGGGTAAATGATACATGGCTGCTGGCTGTAGATATTTAAAAGATGGACACAAGGTGGAGCAACAAGACTAATGACTATGAAGCCTATTTCTTCAGAATGGAATAAATTGATTAATGTTTACTCAGCAGATAGATTTTTTAATCTTCTCTACAGATAGAGCGAAACACCCATAAACAACTATAGACATGTAATGGTATTGGTCCCAACCAAACAATCTTCAAATCTGGGAAAATAAAAATTCAACATTTAACATAGTGAGAAAGCCAATAGTAGTGAACGCAGGAATATTCATGCTTTCAACCAGATACCATGGCTCAGCCTCGCAGACGTGGTCATTCCGTACAACTTGTCTTTATTCACATTAAATATATTATACAATCTTCAAGCTTCTTATTGTTAATTGTTACGATACGATGAGTCGGCGTAGACAATGATGTGACTTACAAGTAGGTAGGTGGTTAGGTAGGTAGGCAGTCACATTTATGACAAATCTAGAATTTTAAGATCAGGTCCATCATTATAGCAGTACTAATAGAACTTAGACCATAATCCTACAGACTAATAAAAGTAATCAAACAAAAAGTGTGGTGTATTTTAACACAGTAGAGCAGGTCTGGAGTAGCAGAAAAATAAAAAATGTTGCACGCCTTACCGATTTACAGTGTGCCTACAAGTACCGTGTTACAAACCAATCAGACAGCTAGAACATTAATCATGTGCTAAATGTTCATGCAGTTGACTAAAGTCATAAAATATAAGATTACTACCACATGATTAATAATTTGAGAAGGAGTATGCAAAAACAGTGGACGATGACAAATCACGAAAAGCATGTGATTGCGATTTTATAGTAAGCAGCAGTCAAACAGAATATATAGCCTCACTGAAACAGTAGTTCAAACTCAAACGGACGTGAGGATAGGAACAGTCGAGCAAGAACTTAAACTATTGGGTTTAGTGAGGGTGAACCGTTGTGTATCCCATCACATATTTAAATAAAAACAGAAAAGCCACATATTCATGAGGTCACTAGTTTACCAATGAATTAAGTTGGACGATAAGCGGTCCATCAAGAAGATTTCCTGGATTGAACGCGAGATCTAGGGAAGAAATTAACAAAACCTCTTACAATCTGATAACCGGGTTATTATTATCCTTAAAAACTAGTGACAGAAGCACAACTACCTATAAATAGTGGAAACCTATTCCACAGAGAACTGCATCATACAGGGAATACTATGTGAAGTACTAGTTTCTGACATTCAAAGTTGATAAGGTAGACACACTGCTGGACATCACAGCAATAGAATAATAAATTCTCCATTCTCGAATCCATACCGACGGACTTTCGAAAAACTTGGAATGACAGCGAAACGACTGTGATGGCATTCTAGATTTGGAAAACGTTCATCACTTAATCGACTTACAGTACTCTTTGATACATACATTTCTCAGAAGCGGCTGTATTTGGCATCTGGATGGCAATTAGTGGCGAATCAATGTGAAAACCAACTAGGACACGTATCTTTAATCGAACTTCCGCGATCGAACGGCTATCCTGACAGATATTCATATCTCTCCAAAATGACGTAAGCAACCTGAAAACTGGATTTATACAACTACTACAAGCTTATCTAAAACAGGTACTACTATCCTTGCTGTATTTATTTGTTGACGACGAAAAATATTTTCAACTTCCTAATTTAATCTTTTCATAAAATTACCAGCCGTATGAAACCTAGTGACAATTATAAAGATCACGTAACATTTCACTATGTAAATCATCAACAGTCGATATTTAAATTATCGAATCTCTTTGAAAAGGATATTTAACGTCATATTAAAATCTGCAGCATATAAATCATTTGTGTTCGGACAGACATATTAAACAAACAGCTTATCGTAACCTGAGCTTACATTCTGGAGATTTATGTGCTTTAGAGTGTTCATAAGAAAGGACGGATAGCCAACCACATATAGACATGTTCATGTCCCATTGTATAATAATAGTTACAATACTAAAATTAACGAGAAACAATGAACTTGGCACGCCACTCATTTTTGTTGAAAAATAAATCTCACAGTTCTAGTGATTTTTGGTTTGTTACGGTAAATTTCAACTAGTGTTGAATTACTTATCTACTTACGATGATTTTGTTTTGATAGATCAATTCACGACTTTTCTGCGCGAGTTCATGAACAGGACTTTTGAAATAGTCGTTCGTTTCCAATATGCTAGTTACCTGTATATCAGAAGATAAGAATAGTGTGAATATACAGTTCGATCAGGATAAAGCTATTGAAGAAATTTGTGTTGCTTGCAACAAGTGTGTTTCACTAAAATTATTTAATTTGTAATTGAAGTGTTCAAGCTACTGTCCGATTCCTTACATATGAAGAAGTATCACATGGACTCACAGAAACGCTGGACTTCGTTTACAATTCCGACGTTCTAATTGTTGATATGAGTGACAAGGTTCGGGGAATGAATACGTAATTTCATTCTTTATACATAGACACAACAAGGACATTTGAATTATCAATTAGGAGTTAGAGAAAGTTTAAAACTGTTCGATAATATAGTAATCGTCAACCTTTCGAGTCATATTTTGCTTGATGACCTACGCGTATGTTTTAATCTCTACTTAACTGGTTTTAGAGTATTTTAAGTAGCAAAACGAAACTTCTTCCATATGTTATTAACGAAAATGGATTTGCTGTCTTAGTGGAAGACAAGTTCCTACAGAATGCCCTCATTGATAATGACATACTCAAAAATCAAATATGCGGTGATCTTGGGCGTTTGTCTGAAGAGCTAGAGGAAATACTTTCAGAAATGTGCAGTGGTGACCGGTAAGTTCTCCGAAAATATTTTTTAGACTAGCGCGTGATAAAATTAGACTTAAAACATATATTCAAGTCAGCAACAATACATTCATGCTTTCACAGCCCATGTCAAGCATACTCCTTACAGGGAATTGCTCATAATGTCTTTATACATAAGTTGATCATGCCTCTAAACATCGTGTCATACATCAACTTGTATGCTGCAAAACAGATAACTCATACTTCAGAAAGGCACTTTTAGTACCTTAAAGGTAGACAAAACTTAGCGAGTCGTGTCCACATACATCTTTCTCTAATCACACGTTGCATGTTTACAATATCATTATAAGTACACTCTATAAGTTCATGTTTTTAAATAGTAGACTGACCGAGATAAGTCTCAATCTGAATCTTGAAGGAAGTTTATTATAATAAACAAAGATGCCTTCACTTCAGTGTTTTTATTGGGAAAAAAATCAAACCGTCGATGAATTTGTAATAATGCTCGTGAAATGAAGGCGATTCAAACCCATCTTGCTAACTAATTTTGAGAAAACATTTTTTCGAAACACAAAAATTTTGATAAAGTCGACGTTTCCTCAACTCTCAAAAATTGATTCGACCGGCTTACAGTTTATAAAATATATTGTGCCAAATTTGTACAAAAAACAAATCCTGAACATATTCTACATTTCCATCATAAAATAACACTAAATTACCTATGTGACAGATATCCGGTTTTAAATAAATTGAACAAAAAGTTTATCTATGATAGCTTGCCTATGAATTTTTGAATACAACCAATAAACGTAAAAAACAAACTTTTTGTTTAACCACCATAAAAAAACCTGTATGTAATGGTATTTGATAGCTGAACAACAACGTCTAATTCACCGAAGATGTAAAAGGGCACACTCAACAATTTTAATTAAGTCTATAAGCAACAAGATCAACAACTCAGTCACATACCGGTACGTTACATGATTTTTGTTTGAAAATCGTTCTATAATTTTGCTAACTGAAAACGAATGGTCATCTAAACTTTCTGACCACTAAAATACACTAATCATTAATATATTTATGAATAACGAATATATAATGCCTTAATTTTTTCTGTTTTCAAGGGCTCCACTAAAAGATAAATTCATTGAGGATCTTCGAAGGGATCGTGATTTGTACAAAGGGCAAGAACTCAGAGAGGTTAGTGTATTGCTTACAGAAAAAAGTATTTTAATGAAAATACACAAACCAACAATACTGAATGGGACTCGTTTGTAGTTTTTAGTTATACAACAACTAGATGTTTAAGTTAATCAAAGACCATTACTTTGAAGAACTAGGTCACCAAATATAACATAATTACAGGTCATAATATATTTAAATCGGCAACAGGATGCAAATTAATATCATTATATTTCATTCCCAATAATGAATGTAAGATCTCTTGAAATATAAATCAACCTATGTCTCTCTCAGGTAGAAAAACAATAACTTTCTGTACATTTTCACCTTTTTATCAAATTCTTTAATATTCTCGTTGCTTCATCAAGCCTTGATCAGTAATAATTTAGCACTTCTTAACAGCACTTTTAAACGCTTCCTTTGATGTCTTAATGAAAAGAAACCTGCATAATAAACGTAGTTTTCACGATGGACGCCTATCTCTCATAAACATTAGGGAATAATTATGGACTTTAAATAAACAAATGAGTTTATAAGTCACAGCTAGATGATAGGGACTTTACTACAAGATACTGATCATAAAAGTTGCAAATACTAACTTTAAGCATAACGAAAAACATCTTTTAACATGGCGACCTCCTAATTCGTCCCAACGTTGGACCCAAATAGATCACATCGCCATCAGCCACCGATGGAGGGGCTCGATAGAAGACTGTTGCTCATTCTGGAGCACATGCCTAGATTCAGATCATGCTCTAGTGCGAGCGCGTATTTGCTTGCGTCTTACTGGACGTAGGAAAGACGCTGCAAGGAAACCTCTTAGGGGCCTACTTAATGATAGTCAAGCTAAGAGTATATTTCAGGAACAACTAGGAAAACAGTTAGGCAGCCATGTATGTGATGCCCACCCCGAGCCAGCATGGAATGATATCCGAAAAGCTGTGGAAACAGCAGTGATATCTGCTAGTAAGGTAAACCAGAAGGTTAGAGAGCAACACTGGATCTCAGCAGCATCTATCGCACTGATAGATGCTCGGAAACTCATTCCACCTGGCTCTGAACATAGTGAAGAGCGGAGTCAGCTTAAGCGCAAACTGACAAGAAGTCTACGCAATGATCGCGAACAGTGGTGGGTAGCGAAAGCAAGAGAGATGGAAAAGGCAGCGGCAATAGGTAATATCAGACAATTGTTCAGACTCGTTAAGGAAACCGGAATTAGGAACCCGACCGTTAGCGAAACAATCTTAGAGAAAGATGGACATATTATTCATTCTCAATCCAGGAGATTGGATCGATGGGCAGAACACTTCAGTGATCAGTTCAACTGGCCTTTAGCCACACTTCGGTTTCCCACGATCTCTAGTCAACCTGAATGGCAAGTTAATGTAAGTCCTCCGTCCCTTTACGAAGTTAAAAAAGCCATAGGAAACCTGAAACGAGGGAGAGCAGCAGGCCCTGACAGGTTTACTCCTGAGATGTTTAAGGATGGTGGTCCAGTATTAGCAATGAGATTAACCGAGGTCTTAGGTAGAATTTGGGAACTGGACGTAATCCCATCTGACTGGTCTCAATCACTGATTGTGCCAGTTTTTAAGAAAGGACAAAAGTCCTCTTGTGACAATCACAGAGGAATCAGTTTGACTAATATAGTGTCTAAAATATTAGCCTCAATAATACTTCGAAGCCTAATCAAAGCTCGTGAAGAGCAGATTAGAGAAAACCAGGCCGGTTTTCGACCTGAACGTGGTTGTATAGATCAGATATTCACACTACGTCAGGTTCTAGAACACAGACACACATTCAGACGCCCAACAATGGTAGTATTTCTCGACCTTAAGGCGGCATTCGACTCTGTTGATTGTGAGGTTCTATGGCAGTGTTTGTCACTGAAAGGAGTACCAAAGAAGTACATTAACCTTATTCAAGCTCTCTACTCGAACACAACTGGTAGAGTGAGAGCTTATGGCGAACTGTCATCAGAATTGATTACATCAAGTGGTGTTCGTCAGGGCTGTCCACTCTCCCTATTCTTTTTCAACTTTGTGGTCGACGTACTTTTAGAGATAACACTCTCTTCATCTAAATTTCCAGGGGTTGAACTTCTACCGGGAAGTTCACTTGTTGACTTAGAATATGCTGATGACATAGTTTTATTTGGTGAAGGCGCTGACAAAATGCAGTCTTCTGACCACTCTAAGCAACAATGCAAGCATGTTCGGGATGCGATTCTCTCCCTCGAAATGCAAAATGTTGCTTCAGGGTTGGGTTACATCGACACCCGAACTAGTGATAGGGAGTGAAGTAGTTGAGCGTGTCGACCGCTCCACTTATCTTGGAAGTCTCATCAGCCCTTGTGGTCTGGTGTGTGACGAGATCTCAGCACGGATACAGAAGGCTCGACTAGCTTTTGCCAACTTGCGTCATTTATGGCGTAGGCGAGATATCCGTCTATCAACCAAAGGACGTGTTTACTGCGCAGCAGTTCGTCCCGTCCTACTTTATGGAAGTGAAACATGGCCGGTAAGAGTAGAGGATATTCGTAGGTTACTAGTATTCGATCATGGGTGTCTTCGAAAGATTGCTTGTATATCATGAAACCATCGAGTAAGTAACACAGTTGTTAGGAAACGGGTACTGGGTAAGGATGGCAAATCAATTGATGAAATGGTGAAACTTCATCAGTTGAGATGGCTGTTATGTATGCTCAACCACCGACTGCCTCGACGTGCGATGTTCAGTGTTATAGGAGTAGGTTGAAAGAAAGCTAGGGGCGGCCAGACCAAAACATGGGACAAATCCATGAAGTCACTGACAAGTGGTCTGAGTCATGTTGGTAGGTGTAGACTACCTGGTTGGGGACCGCGAGATGATAGCAACCGATGGTTAGAGACCCTGAATGACATAACTCAAAATTGTCTGCAATTGCGCAGATTCATCCACTCTTTATGTTCTTTCAATTTCTAATCTTCTGAAACCTTCATGTCCGTTCTTTTCCTCTTTCCAAATTTATTTCACTGAATTATACTCTCTAAATAACATCTCCAAACCCTAATCTTCCCGATCACTGCTTACACTCTTGCTACCGCTATCACTACAGGATTTGGATCGACAACTGCATCTCTGTGTTAAGGTGGTGTGGCAACTTGAACTGATGTACGTACGTACGAAGTTCTACGTTGTTACTGACTGACTGAATATACCTCTATATCAATGTAAGAATTAAGAAAGTTATTCGATAATTCATTTTTAGTTCGAATCGCTTGTTGAAATGAGACAAGCACAGATTTTATGCGGGATTTGGCAAATTAAAAACTAAGTACTCCCATTGTTCTTCAAGAAAGATATGATGGTTCATAAAGCGTACTAGTAAAGTTGGTCACAGAAATAACACCGGCGTGTGAATTTAAAAAAATGTTGCATCAAAAAATTAGTTGAAGCGCAGGAAACAAATTGTATCATGCAAAGAAAAAATTATTTTGTCTGAATTTGAGCGTAACATCTTACTCACTTCAGTCTGCTACCCCCGTCATGGAGCATAGGCCGCCGACCAGCGTTCTCCAACCCACTCTGTTCTGGACTTCCCTTTCTAGTTTTTTCCAACTGCTGTTCATTCTTCTCACGTTTGTCTCCATTTCTCGGCGTAATTTGTTCTTTGGTCTTCCTCTTTTTCTTTGGCCTTGAGGTTTGTTCTCTCCCACAATAGGTTGCTGCTGGTAATGTCTGGTCAACGAGTCTGAAGCATTTTGCGTAGACAACTGGTAATAAACACTTGTAGCTTCTGGATGATGGCTTTCGTAGTTCTCCGAGTCTCCGCCCCATATAGTAGAACTGTTTTGACATTTGTGTTTAAAATTCTGACTTTGGTGTTGGTTGACAGTTGTTTTGAGTTCCAGATGTTCTTCATTTGTAGATATGTTGCTCTTATTTTGCCGATTCGCGCCTTCACATCTGCATCAGATCCACCGTGTTCATCAATGATGCTGCCCGAATATGTAAAGGTTTTTACATCTTCCAAATCTTCTCCGTCAAGTGTGATTGTTGCATGATGTGTTGTATCTGAGAATCTTGCTTTTCCCTTTGTGTATGTTGAGACGTAGTGCTACTGAGGCTGCTGCTACACTGGTTGCTTTTTCCTGCATTTGTTGTTGCGTGTGCGATAGAATTGTCAGATCATTCTTGAAGTCTAGATCGTTCAGCTCCATCTTAGATGTTCACTGTATCCCATGCTTCTCACCAGATGTTGGCGTCTTCATGATCCAGTCGATCACCTGACACAGGTCTTTACTTCGAACGAGTCTGTGAGCTGTAATCTATGCACGATTTTTCATCATAGGAATTCCGTATGATACTGAATATCTTCTCAGACACGCCATTATGTCGAAAAAGCTTCCATAGTGTTGTATTGTTCACGCTATCAAATTCTTTCTCGTAGTCAATGAAGTTGATGTAGAGTGATGAATTCCGTCCAATTAACTGTTCCACAATGATGCACAGTGTTGCCAAACCCTCCTTTATCGGTGCTTGAGACCGGCAGCAGCCTAAAATGGGCTTTAGGCGGGATTATGAGTAACATCAGCCTAGATTTAAAAAATGTTCTGAACCATAATTTGGAAAATATCGTACTCATTGGCTATTAATCATTTAACAACACAAAAAAATGATCAGGATTTTAGAGAATGAAAACGTGGAGATACATGCCTGTGAACAATAGGATTATTAAACCTTATAGTGACTCAAAAATTGATAGAACTAATTTTTTTATTATTCTGTTATCATTGTAATCAGTAAGGTACTGAAAAAGTGTCTGAAAATACAACAGAAAAAGACAATACCCACCGTTCAATATACTACAAATAATAAATTTATAACATTTACACTCATCGTACAATGTAATTCACTAAGATTATGATTTGTACAGAAAAGGCAGACATAGATTAATAGGCGCTATACTATTAGGACTGTTTAGTATAATGTAGGCTGATTTTCCAAGCTGCAACAAATTATTTGTGCTTAGTATAGTGTGAGGAATTTATGCTAGTGAAGATTAAACAAATTAAAGGAGTCCATTATAGCTAATCAAATGAAAACAGATGATTATTGAGCCATAAATGAAATTTAAATGAGCTTACAGGTTTACTCAAGCCAAATGTATGAATGCAGCTGATTTGTATTTACAAGCTATTTTTTTGAAGTAACTTGACTACACAAACAAAATTAAATAGATAACTATTACTAAAAATATTTAATATATTATAGACGTGCGTGCATACATGACCAAAAAACTGAATTAATTTTCACTCAAATTTTAGTGTCAAATCATCCGTTACATTTTATTCTATTTTAAAATTTATATCCACTAGTCATGTAGGAGAATTCATTGATTACATCACAGATATTTATAGTTTTATATTAAAGTCTAATGTGAGGTATAAAGTTACTATTGAACAATGGAAAAACATGAACTGCCCGACAGGTTTTCTCATGAGCTCTATAGCGACCGAACACCAAATAAATCTACTAATAATCTAAACGCCGTCACACTTCAATCACCCTGAAAGGAGGTAATATCTACCTCAAATAATGTGAATAAGAGATTCCAACATGGACTTTATCTCTTATTTATTTTCATTACCAACAAATAAAACGCTAATAAACTAAATTTACTTGATGCTGTTTTATTTGCATCTTCCCATTGTTATTAGGACTACAATTGATCAGTCTCTTGTTGACATATACTCATCCTGTGCAGATTGCCTTCGTATAGACTACATCGAGGCAATCTGCATAAGAATGTGTGTGTCAATCAATAATGTATTATTTAAAAGCTCTGATATTTATTCATCGATGGATCACTTAAAAACTAAAAGAATTCTGGCCTCGTGTTAAAATCCGGAAAATAAACACTGTCCACTTTTAGTATGTATCAAAGAGCCGACAGAATACAAACTTAATAAATCAGTGATTATTTCTATTATTATTCAAAGCCTTGTTTTTATAAACGGCTACTAACTTTTCATGAATATTTTGGCAGTTTAGTTTATTTATGACTAACGATCTTAGTGTTTCAATCCACGTAGTTATTAGACAGGTGACTTTAAAATCTATTTAATACCATTTATTCCCTTATGCAAAAACTTGAGTTTTACTCCAATGCTTTTACGCTTTATTATTTACACTGGTACTTTGAATGGCGTTCTGAAAACAACGTAACAGCAATTAAAAAAGTAATATAGCAAAATTAAATCAGCCACAAGTCTCTAGTCACATCAGATTTATGGGTCAGACAATGTACTAACTTCGTATCTACGGGAATATTCGCTACTGTACATGACCACAGACAAAATAAAAGATGAAAAAATGATGGATTTATATCATATTCGTTGTTTAACACAACTATCAATATTAAGACTATTTTGTACAGTAAATGGCAGTTGATTATGAATATCACAAACTTAGTAACTCTTACTCCAAATAAGTCATTTTTGTAATGGTTACTTGGAACTATTGTTGCAAACGCAACGAAAATCATAGATATTATAAGAAATGAAAATCTCTTATACCTAGAATTTTTTGTATGATAAGCTAATAATCATATAATCATTTTATGTGAACTGCAATCAATCAGTATTAGATTAAGTTAATTAAATATATGCAGTCACTAAATCAGAATTTATGAAATTAGAACTGTAAGTGTATTTAAAGGTAGTCGTAAATGCTGAAGAAACGGGTCAAAATTGGCGCTGGAAAGTTGATAAGATTGCGACCCATTTCATTAGTGACCTAGAATTACAAACTATTCTAAATTTTCCTTTCTTTCTCTTTAGTTATAGTTGCTGCAATACTGAATGAATTGATTTTGATATAGTCTAGATGTGTCTTGCTAAAGTGCCTAAAAGGATTAGTATGTTTTTCATATCATATATGTATAAGGCACCATCTTAGTAGATTAAATCATATGTCTTTCTGTATGTCTCAGTATTCTAACCAAAATAACATTCAGCATTCAAGTGCACCTAAATGTTTTTCATGTCTTTTCCATTCCACTTTGTTGAAAACCTACTGAAAGACAAAAAACGGTATGTCTGGTCAACGTTTTCTGTTACATTTTGTTCCCGAATAATAAATATATTCATCATATGGCTCCACTACATCGCTATCCAAAATCTGGAAGCTGACTACATTTTCTAAAAACTAAAATATTTATTTCAAAAATATTTTAATTAATGTCTGAATTCTTTCATTTTACAAAGAAGTTTATGGTATGAAAATAAATCCACGACAAACAGGATAGTTAGCTTGAAACAGTGAACACTTGATCAGTTTGAATGATACTAGTGAATACAATAATGCAAAACTAACAAGAGCAGATGGATGCGAATAATAGTTATTAAAAAACTATTTGCGCATAAACTGAAGATACTAAGGTAATAATAGACAGTGTTTATTACATAAAACGTAATAATTTCTCTATGAGTTTTCAAACAAAAGTAAATCCGTAAAACGTCACTTGACTTTCATAGTAGACATAGGTTAGTACTGTGAAGTGAAATTTTAATAAACTTTATTCTAGAAGAATTTCTCATAAAATGAATGCTAAACGGAATTATTAATATAATCGCGATCTTACAAAGTCTCATCAATTGATATATCCTTATGTTACTGGGGGACATCATAATCGATTTTCTGAGATTATTATTCTAAATTTTATAATAACTTATAGTAATCAAAGGTATACACATGAATAATATCTGTCAAATTTCAATTTGTGAGTTTTTATCATTTGATCCTATTCAAATAGTTTTAAATGATCTCAATAAATGGCATTGAATCTTTTTCCTCCTTTAGATTAACTACAACAAACAATTTTTAATTTACCTGTCTTTATTTCTTTCAGCGTCTTCGAGTAATGCGCCGTAGATTGGATTATCCAGGGATGCTTTCATCGGATGTTATTCTTAATCTGTTACTATCATACAGACAGTGCGAGGTATAAAAATTTAGAAAAACAAACAACTTAAATTAGAGGGAAAAATCTAACGAGCTGGTTTGCTTACTAATCATACAATGTCAATCAAAACAGATAGTATGAGATTTAAAACAAATCTTTCAAATTTGTTTGTGAACGAACAAATAACGTCTTCTATGAATTCACATAACATAATGTATTCAGCTAGCAAAATTGCAATTAATCTGAATTACAAGTGGTTAAAACACGTAATAAACCAGGCCTTAAACACAGTGTTTTCATTTGACTTAGTCTGTAATCTATCAACCATGTTTGGGAGATGTCTGATAAAAAAATTTAATTGACGTTCATATTGTTTCATCAGATTGTCAAAATGGCAATACCTAACTCACTGTAGAATCTCAGCAACAATTGGTCACAGAAATGACGTTTTGTTGATATGCAATATCATTGTGTAATGATATCGTTCTAAAGAAATTTTCTTTTTTAGTAAGCGGTGATTTGTACTATTAAGTAATCACACAATGTCTGAAACGACATTTCAGTATTCATTTGATCCATATATTTTGAATTTTGACTAAGTAGATTCCAGAAAATAGAACTACTGGTCAACTGACTTAATATATTATTAAGGTATTAAGACATTCACTTAAATCCAAAGAGTTTAACCAAAGTAGTACAACTTAGTTACTTATCAGAAAGAAAATGATCATTTAGTGGTGCATTAAAAGCATTAGGTGGTCTAAATCATATTCTCCCGTCTTATCATTTTTTTCATTTGGTTTCAGTAGTGTATTGTTGATGTGGCTAAAAACTTTGATTTTTCTGATACACTCGTTATTCTAATTGTTGGTTGAAAATGAACTATTTTTTGTTATTTGATTACAGTTTGAGACAACAGTATTTTTTAAACTAGTGCCTAATTTTGTATTTTGGTGGTGAGTCACTAGAAAACACCTAGAACAGACCTACCAATCATTTCGGGTTTATTCTCAACTTAAGATTGAATGCTTTGTGAAAATTTGATTATGCAGTATGATAATCTTTTTATATACAAAAATATAAGTGAGAATCTTTAATGTATTTGTCTTATTTGAATACTGATTCCACCTACAAAAAATTTTGAATCGTGTCCAAGTTAAAAGAGTAAGAATGTAGCATCATTTCATTCGTTAAAGTCTTTATCGGATTTATCTTGTTCATTTTATAGTCTAAAATATTCTAGGTTTATTAAAAAAAAACCAAAAACTTTTTCATGCTTTATCGATATGAATTACTGCCAAAAAAGATGATCAACCTTTTTAAAACTATTTCATTCATTTAATTATCAAATTTTTCTAAAAGTTAAATGTAACTTTTCTTTATTTTTTTTTAGGATTTCGATGCTATGGTTACTTTAATAGAAGAGATAAGGGCTTTAAAATTAAATCAAGATATTTTGAATGTGTGCATGATCCAGTATCTATATGCTTTTGCTTTGCATAGACGGAATAAAAATGGTGATCGAGATGCTGCATTAGCTGTAACTGAAGAAGTAAGTCACATTTTTGAAGATAATACAAATTTACTTTTTAGTGTTGAAATGAAATTAAGAAATAATGAGCATACTTTATCTGTGAACAATCCTAATTAAAGACATTTTTAATGATTCTAGGATTATTTTATATCGCAATATGGTATTGACAGGGAAAAGACCTCTTTAAGAAGGATAACTGCATTGGTTTTAAGTCTAAATGAACAACTATTGTACTTATTCTTAAAATAATTCTCAAGACAAAATATCGAGAGTGTAATATACAAACCTGGATCAAAAAAATTATCAATTAGTTTTTAAATCTTAAAGACTCTTAAATGAGGTGTCGCACTAACACCACATGATATATATATATATATATATATATATATATATATATATATATCAATGGATTATAGGATATGAAGAGAAAAAACATTTTAAGAAAATAAGCCCATAACTTAATAGTTATGAGGATCTGCCACAATAGTGTCCTTATACACACTTTAAAAAAATGAGTTCAGAAAGATTTGTGAAAGATGAAGGTATATGCCGAAGCCCACGGCAGGTGGAAGCCTAATATTGTCGGCTGATTGAAGTTACACTTGTACGTTATTGGATGCCAACTCACTGATTTGGAGCATCTGCTAGCGAGACGGAAGGTTCTGTGTTCGCCTACGATAGTGTAGTCCTAGGTGCTCACTGCTGAATACTTTCATATTGGGATGGAACGGTTATTCAGTCCTTCTAGGATTCGAATGGTTGACTAAGATCGGTTCGTAATCTTAATAAAACTTAACACTCTTCATGACTAAAGTTTTTTAATTCTTCCTAACAAGCTTACAAGGACTTTTATGCTTTGATTTTGATGCAGTCTCAACAGATATGTGATATTTTCATCTAATTAGTTCAGAAACTTGAAATCTATAATCAATAATATCTTAGACTAACAACAGAAAAATGTTTAGAGAAATGTAAACACATTAGATTCAAGTGTTTTCCACTGAAATATGTCTAAATTTTCAAAATAATGTAGAATTATTTCTTTAAAAAGATAAAATTGACAAAATTTTCCGTAGAAATATTTATTTAAAGGACAATAAGTCTTTCAGAATTCACTTATTTACAATGTGCATACATAAACTGGTATGATAGATTCTCATAAATAACAAATTATAACCATGTGATTTAAAAATGTTTCACTTCAAATTCTCCAAATTATATGTAAATGAAATTTATTCACCTAGACATTATGTAGTAATTGAAATATAACTAAGAAGAATACAGTGGTAGCTCAATAATATTTTTTGGAATACATTCATTGAAACATATTAAACAAGTTCAGTTACGCTAAATGCTTGTTGGAGTTTTTAATATATATATAGTGTTTATGTGAATGAATATGTAAATATTGATCAGTCAAACGCTAGAAATCTATCTGAAATATTCTAATCTAAAATTCATTAAATACTATATCGAATGGTAGATAAGCTGTTACCCGTAATTGAAGTTAGACAAACTCCTATATGTTCGTAAATAACAACAATTATTATTATGGCTTTGTTTTATCTTTTTTTTGTCCTCTACACGTCTTTTCATGTACACAATAATGTTATTAACAAAATATAGTTTTACTATTGGTTGTATACAGCAGTCAAATATTGATTAGTTTAGTTTAGTTACAATAAGAGTTAATGTAGTGTCAATATGTGACATCTTTTTTTTTAATTCTGAAGAAAAAATTATGTGAAAGTGTTGTTTTTTATTTCTTAATACCATTCGCAATAAAATAATTCTTCATTCAGATGTAATTTTAAAAATAACTAACATTGATGTTATTGTTGAATTCCAGTATTGTGTATTCTTTACCATTCTTTACCATTATCGATCAAATGAAGTAATTGTCTTCTGTTTACAATGTGCTTATCTTTACTGGTAAAATCTGTATGTATAAACCAAATACTAATTAAGTGTTCTGGTTATTTTGTTTTTATATTAATCTTTCATAATGGTGGGTATATTTTGTTTATTCCAAATGACACTTTTCACTTTTATTATCATCTAGATCTTGAAAACATGTGGAAAACCTTCTGCCGATATGTATGGTCTGTTTGGTCGTATTCAAAAAGATCGTTTTATGGATTCTCATGGTGAAGATAAAGAAGCTCTAGATTTAGCTATTCAAGGCTACCGAGAAGGCCTGAAGATTGATGCAAATGAATATCTATTAGTGAATGTTGCCACACTTTTAGTAATTAAAGGAATGGATCTGGAAACAAGTGCAGAGATGCGTAAAATTTGTAAGTTGATAAATATAAAATTTCTCAAGTTCATTTCTCAATTTCACAAAGCATATATTTTGAAGTGTTTAGTTATATATACTGAAGCTGATAATTCGGCAGTCAAAGTTTCTCATAATACACTGGAGAACTTCCTATTTAAAACAAACATTTACTTATTGTATATTTTTTAAATGCCTTATAATCAGTTACTTAGGGAGATGTAAACTTACTGAATGTATGAGTAGTAGGAATTAAAGTATTATTTAAGCCTTTATAAACTATATACGATATGAGGAATCCCACAGTTTGATCCACGGTAAAATCTGCGGTAACAGTAAAAAGTACTGACGTATATTACACAACCTACTGTTTTGCTATCACATGCCACTATAATCAATAAATACCAACAAACGTGGTTACGATGGATATAACTAACTGGTTTACTTATTGATGCTGTAACCTTGAAATTTAACAACATTTTAAGTATTGACTGATCTTTGACTAAGATTCAATTCAGATGTCATGTATAAATTTAAAATGACACTTTAAAACAACAATCTAATTATGTCATACAAAAGAATCAGTGTGATTTATGCTACTAATGTTGGCAGACATAAGTAGTATGAAACACCATCAAAAGTGCAATGCCTGGCAGCAGAATATTGAGAAAATAGAATTAAAGAGTACAGGAATGTAAGTAAAAAGTAATTTTAATAATAAGAGGATTGGAAGAATCATGAAGTATGTAAAGGATAACTGAAATGAAGATGCGAAAATAGTGTACTTAATGTATAGTTTTCGAATTTACTCAAAACAATTTGTAATTTTGTACTGAATAATAAAATGGTCTTTTCCGCTTGAGTTCTCGTTTACTGCAATAGTACTAAAGAAAATAGTAGATATAACTAATTAAACTACCGGAATTTAAATTCCTTAATTACTTTTAGCCTTATTAAGTAGGCAGCAATAAGTTAGTTCCTCATTTTAAATCTGTTTTTTTTACACTTTAAACAATGATATAACTGAAATAAATTCCACATCACGGACGACTTAAAAATTTAAATGTTTAGGGGATTCTTATCTTCTAAATCAGCATAAATTTATCAGCTTTTAGTAATTTGGGGAAAAAAATAGTTGTTTATTTAAATATAAATTATACGGAAAGGGTTAACAGTAGGATTAGTGCAATAAAATCTTAACCACTTAAAACTTCGTGAAGTAATGCCAAGTGGAGAAGATTTGTAGCTCAGGTGGATGATTTTGGTGGAGTTTTGTTCTCTGAGCTGGATGGTTTGGTCGTGGAGCTTTCATCGTTCTTCTGAACGACATCATCAGCACAAACTTCAAATAGAAGTCTATTTGAAGTTTGTGCTGATGATGTCGTTCAGAAGAACGATGAAAGCTCCACGACCAAACCATCCAGCTCAGAGAACAAAACTCCACCAAAAAGTAATGCCAAGTGGACTGAAACTTAAATTCAATGTAAGCTAGACACTTTCAGTATTTCTAGAACTAATACAATCGAAAGATAGCTACTCATTTAGTGACACGTTTTTCTTTCTTTTTATTAAGGTAATACACTGAATTTGCGTGTTGGCCAAAAAGGAAATATCTCCACAATCAATGATTATTGGGATGTTGCCACATTATTTGAGGTACGCGTAATAAGTGAAGACTATGCTGGCGCTGTTCAAGCTGTGGAACGAATGTATCTTTTAGATCCACCTGACTGGTATGTTTCATTAAACCAAATATTTCACCTAAAATATATCTTTATCATGTTTGGTACTTTCATCCAACGAAATAACTTGGAGAATGCGCAGAAAAAATTACTAATTCAATAAATGAAAATTTTGTATAAGTCGTTTATTGGTTCAGAATTCCACTTACTATCAGAATGAAAAACAACATAAAAATGTAGAATAGTTTGTCTTGTAAGATGTGAAGAGAGAAAAGTGAACAGCGAATCCAGTTTTGTCAGTGATGAGCTGGAGATAAAGTTATCTATGGTCTCCAAGTGTTCGATAACTATGGGTAATTTCCATATACGCACATATATACTACCTAACTTGCATAGTTCCATCACTTTCAATTTTCCTCATGAATAACATGCATTATTTGTGATACATGTACAACCAAACTACTAATATCAGTAGTAAAGTTAAACAATTACCGTGAAGCAATTAATGTCCTTTAATTGCCAGTATTGACCACTGCTCAATGACCTATCAAGTGTAAAACTTTGCGTCGTACAGAAGGTTTATTAACAGTCGGATAATTTAGTGATGGAATTTGAGACGGTGAATCCAAGTGAGACCATCAGTTATTTCACGATATCAGGTATACTGCAATGACGAGTGCCAAATACCAGGTTCAAGGTTTCCTGTTGACTACCTACAATCATGTAGTACTAAGTTACTTGATTGTTCTAGATATAATTTTGTTATATTCTCATACATTTATTTTTAACTTTCAAATCGTTTGCGAAATCACATGAAAACATTTTTAGATTTATTTATTAGGCTTTTAATAATCGCTTCATTAACATATTAGTACAGCTGTATATATGCGCATCAAAAATTGATTGATTTAAAATATCATATATTTTGACTATAAAAACATGTTTCTGATTCACATATACTGTACCATAAACAAAATATGGCAGTTGACACAATTGCACAATTTTATATACATAAGTATAAATAATTTAGAAATGCATTGTAAACCTGGAGAACGAAAAACAGCTTGCATTGGATATTGTTAGGAAGTTTCTAATCTTTAGGGTGAAGCACTGATCTTTGGAAGAAAGTATGCTATTCTACTAAATAATGGATGTGTAGTGGATAACATTTATCTAAATATTCAATCATTTCCTGTTTAGAGTAATCCAATAATTTGATCAATAATATTTCTGAGAACTTAGTATGAACTTAGATGCATTGATGAGATCAAGAGTAATTTGGTATTTTGATTAATACGATTGTGAATGTTTGTTTCTTCCACTTTATAACGTAATTATAAATTTGATCACCTTAATAATATCCATCTGGTTCACCGATTATTTTGCATGTGTTATTTGTGTTATTTGGATTCCTACAAATCGAAAAAAACTTAACCATGGTCCACCCTATTATATATAAATGAAACAGCTGAAAAATGCTTGTCAATAAATGTTGTATTATTAGCAATCCTGAAAATCATTTGGCAGATTAAAGCAACCAACATATATAAATTGATATTTACTCCGTTTCACAAGCTAATGGTTATTTGCGCTCAGTATCTAAGTCGATAAGCCGATGTCATTTGAAGCAAACTGGAGTGGTTGCGAGTTCCAGAGTGAACATTAAATCCTAAATGCAGGACCATTCAGACGATAAGTTCAAAGTAGCATAAAATGCGCGTCCCATATTTCTCTGCAAGTCACTATTCATCTCTGCCTAAAGTGGTTTATGATGATAAAGATATACATCGTGTACGGAAGTGTTTGTTGGCGCTTTTTTTCTAAGCTAGACAGTTTAACTACGATTTTAAAAAGCAAAACCGTGAAGTTTTCCATATTTTTTAGCACGTAGCTCATCTACCTCAGTGAACAGAACAGCCAAAATCGTAATTTACTTCATACCATTTCAAAAAAGCAAAATGTGAAGTGGTAAATTACACGCAAACTATTATTTTATATCGAATGTTTGTAATAGTTTCAAGAAATATTACCCAACACTACAAATTTACTTATCTTTAGGTTTTTTTAATTATCTTTTATAATATCATGATTATTCCAATGTGATATTCATGTTGTCAAATTATATGAAAGAATTGTTTCATCTAGCACAAGAATATCTAGAATGGTATAATTATATCGATCATTCAAAGACTATCCATAAAGATTTATTTAAATATAATGAACGATATTTTGTAAAGGTCTCTGTCTAACTTTCTGAGTATCTGTAGTTTAACAAATAAAGTTAGTCTCATGATATTAGAACTTTGTAAATCATTTAATAGTAAACCAGAGAGACCGGTCAAAGACAAAGAAGGCAAGCCAGTCACCGAAATTCAACAACAGCGGAACAGATGGGTAGAATAATTCGAGGAACTCCTGAATAGACCGGCTCCAATGAATCCACCGGACATCGAAGCGGCACACACAGATCTTCCCATAGACGTCAACCCACCAACGAAGGAAGAAATCAGAATGGCCGTCAGACAAATCAAGAACGGGAAAGCAGCGGGTCCGGACAACATGCCAGCTGAAGCACTGAAGTCAGACATCGAAATAACTACAAACATGTTTTATCTTCTATTCAAAAAGATTTTGGAGGAGGAACAAGTGACGATGAACTGGAAAGAAGGGCACTTCGTCAAGATTCCAAAGAAAGGAGATCTGAGCAAATGTGAAAACTATAGAGGCATTACACTGCTGTCATTACCAGGGAAGGTCTTCAACAGAGTGTTGCTGAACCGGATGAAAGATGCAGTAGACGCCCAACTTCGAGATCAACAAGCTGGATTCCGTAAGGATCGATCATGCACAGACCAAATTGCAACACTACGGATCATCGTCGAACAATCAGTTGAGTGGAACTCGTCACTATACATCAACTTCATTGATTATGAAAAGGCATTTGACAGTGTAGATGGGAGGACGTTATGGAAACTTCTTCGATACTATGGAGTTCCCGAGAAAATTGTCAACATTATCTGGAACTCATACGACAGACTACATTGCAAGGTCGTGCATGGAGGACAGCTGACAGAAGCATTCCAAGTAAGGACCGGAGTCAGACAAGGCTGTTTACTCTCTCCCTTCCTCTTTCTTCTGGTGGTCGACTGGATTGTGAAGACCTCGACATCTGAGGAAAAACACAGAATACGATGGACAGCTCAAAATCAATAAGACGATTTGGACTTCGCAGATGACCTGGCCCTCCTATCACGTACACACGAACAGATGCAGATAAAAACAGCCAGTGTGGCAGCAGTCTCTGCATCAGTAGGCCTCAGCATACACAAAGGGAAAACCAAAGTCCTCAAATTCAAAGCGGAGAACAACAATCCAATCACTCTTGATGGCGAAACTCTGGAAAATGTAGAGTCCTTCACATACCTAGGAAGCATCATCGATGAACAAGGAGGTTCAGATGCAGACGTAAAGGCAAGGATTGGCAAAGCAAGGACAGCATTCCTACAGTTAAAGAACATATGGAACTCAAAACAACTTTCAACCAATATCAAAGTGAGAATCTTCAATACGAACGTCAAGGCAGTTCTACTGTATGGAGCTGAGACTTGGAGAACTACAACAACCACAATCAAGAAAGTACAAGTATTTATAAATAGCTGTCTACGCAAGATACTCAACATCCATTGGCGGGATACCATCAGCAATAGCCTTCTGTGGGAGAGAACAAACCAACTTCCAGCTGAAGAAGAAATTAGGAAAAGACGATGGAAATGGATAGGACATACATCACACAAATCGTCAAACTGCATCACGAGGCAAGCCCTAACTTGGAATCCTGAAGGGAAGCGAAAAAGAGGAAGGTCAAAGAACACATTGCGTCGGATAATAGAAGCAGATATGAAAACGATGAATTACAACTGGACGGAGCTAGAAAGGATTGTCCAGGACAGGGTTGGATGGAGAATGCTGGTTAGCAGCCTATGCTCCTTCATGAGGAGTAACAGGTGTAAGTAAGTAAATCATTTAATAAATCATGCTTGTATTTCACTCAGGTAATAAGATTATTCATCTCGATCACAGATATTTATTGACTCTAAAACATTTTGATTTCTCTTGTAATTGATTTAATTTTTTATAAATTGACCAGTTAATTAAGCTAAGTTGTCTACATAAAAAATATCATACTGAAAAGACATCAAATATTTAATAACTGTTCAGCTAACTAATGAAATATTGGGTAAAACATGGTAAATGTTTCAAATGAATACTACAGAAAAGGTTCATTAATCTATCCTATGTTCTTACAAATAGCTATTCGTTTTCTTAAAGGTTATTTGTAAAACTAAACGGCGTGATTAGAATAATAAGAAAATGAACATAATGTGTTTTATTTATTTAAATAGTAACTGGTGTAAGTAGATTGAAATACAATGTTTGTTTAACTAAAAGCACCTTTATATTTATTGGGATTATGTAACTCTTTAAGCAAATTAATTAATTTCCTCTAAGGAATAACAGCTACGATCTGTTCCACAGGTTTTTAAATCATGAGTCAGTTGAAGCTAGACCACCATTGAAAACCTGGAAGCACTGGACGGCCGTTTCGTCCTGGTATGGGACTCCTCAGCAGTGCGCATCCACGATACCGCACCACGCGGGGCTCGAACCCAGGACCTGCTGGCTTCGCGCGCTAATGGTTAAGTGCTCGCGCGCGAAGCCAGTAGGTCCTGAGTTCGAGCCCCGGGTGGTGCGGGGTCGTGGATGCGCACTGCTGAGGAGTCCCATACCAGGACGAAACGGCCGTCCAGTGCTTCCAGGTTTTCAATGGTGGTCTAGTTTCAACTGACTCATGATTTAAAAACCTGTGAAATTTCGTAAATTCTCCACAAAACCCATTCTGATAATACTATATGTTCATTAATTTTCTTTTATTGATTTTATAACTTTTCTATAATATAAAAACATTCTACGTTTACAATATTTAGATGGTATTTTTGTCTTCATTTCTAATTATTTTGATTCATATTTTTACCTAAATGTAACACAATTTGTTCAAAATTTAGTAACTTCATTATTGAAGGGTTCATATGAATAAGTTAATTTTCATATTTACAATGTGAATTCAACATGTAACATAAAGTATACACTTTATTTTAACAGTTTTTTACTTTTTTTATTTTTTCACTTTCTTAAATCATTTATAGGGAATTGGAATCTACATTGGGTAACATAAAAATGATTTGCAAATTTCGTAAACCACCAGAAGAGAACAAAATTGCGAAACCACAAAAAGTAAAAAAAACTTTTTTACAGTTTTCTTTTTCAACTTAGCACAAAATTTTGATATGAACGAAACAACAATGATTGATGATTTAATTTTAATTTATTCTGAGTATAATACTTAAAGGAATTAATATTTCATAATTTACTAAAAACTCTACAATACAATTATTTCACTCAGCTTAAAGTTTGTATTTACTAGTGCAGTTATTATTTACAAACTAAAGTCAATTATTCTAACATTGTAATACTATAACTATCTATTAGATAGCTATACCATTCTCAAAAAAAAACTCAGCTATCCCTTCAATTAAATGTCAGTTAAAGATAGGCATTTTAGATTGATCATGTAACATAGCTTCAAGTAATATATTAAATAAAAACAAGGTTTAAACCCTGATGGATAAAAATTGAAAGTGTATAATAAACTTTAGAAAAATTACTCTCCCATTTTTAAAAACTTTTTTAATATTTCTATGTTTCATCAAACTATTTAGCTAAATTATACTGGCTGTTTATCTTCTATATAATTTAACCTATAAGTAATTTCCAATATCATATTAATAAAATTCTCCTTCTTGTAAAATACTATATTCACATGCAGACTATCAAAATAATATTCAAAATGATTTAAATAAATAAGTATCACTTTGTTATCTGATTAAGATTAAAGCTAATTGATGTGTTCTGTACATACAGAATAAAATTGAATAGTCTGAATTTCAATCTCAATATACTTTTACATATTTACCAGGCTTATTTGTGCAATTAAATTTGTGTTACGGATTCATAAAACTCATTTATTTTGTGCATTATTATTTTAATATTATTAATATATGTACGACTGAAATTGAAAATAAAATAAGCTATTGTATTACAAATAACTAACTTTAATACGTGGATTGAAAGAGTTTTTGAAAGATTGAAAGTTACCTGTTTCCATAGTAATAAGTCATGAACACGAATTACTAAATTACTTGACAATGAACATTTACAGTTACTTTATTTGATAAACAGTTTGACTTATCAAACGAATATAGAACTGTATGGAAGATAATAATGTCACAGTAAATTAAAGACGTTATGAGTTTTAAAAGAACTGAACTAATTTTTATTAAGTCGTTCTTTTTTTTTTTACACGTTCTTGAGAAAATAATTCAAACTAGTGCTTGACGGTATTCAGCAGAAATAGGAACGCAGAAAAAATTAAGAAATCTTATTTGAAAATAATTTTATATTGTACCTACATTACAACTGAAAATTACTTAAAAGATAACTAATTGCATTAATATAATTTTTTTCATTTAATGTTGACTAAAATGGCAATGATCAAAATTATTCAGTTGGAAACAATCTTTTATTCTTAAAATCATGATCACTTGATGTTCATTTAGTTTTTATATAATTAATTATGCAACCCTTAAAAACGAGACTAAAATTGCTCAGCGACTTTGTAAATGATCTATATAAAAGGGAACAATGTGATTGTAATACTTCACTCAACTGTCAAGGAATAGTGACAACAGTACCTTATTTATTAGTTGTAAGGTTTTCTTCCAATAACATAACTCTCTTATTTCATACATCTTGATCCTTTGATAAATTTAAATAAAGCGAGAAAGACAAAAGTTCCACTTTTTTCTTATGTCGCTTCAAACTAAACTTCATTGATTATGGTATGTAATGAAAAATTTTTCCAAATCTTGTTTTAATCACTTTATTTAGATAAATCTCTCATTTCGTACGAAAAGTCTTAACTCACTATATTCTTCATACGATTTCCCGTCGTATTTGGATTTTTAATTAGACTTTAATTTATGAGACGACTACTTTAACATTATGATGAATAATCGAGAAAATTAAGCCAATATGCTCTTACGACCTAAGTCGTATTGCAACATTCTAATTTTAAATAGAAACATTACTGACGACGTTTATGTGATAGGTTGAAAATCATAAGGAACAAACAATAAGTTACTGGAAACCAGTTGTTTGAAGCATGGATAGACTTTAGCTGGAAAATAAATGAATATTAAGATGTATTGTTTCATTTATGCTATTGTTAGTCTTAACAGCACCACCCACGACCAAAACAACTAAATCACGTTTTCAACTACCTAGTTTTCAATGCTTGTTTGACCAAGGTCCACAGTGACTTAAATGATCTGCAAACGGAATAATATCCCCAAACATTCCATATAAATAACTGTATTTTATCGATTCTAAAAGTATTTATCTCTTTCATGAAGTCTACCATTAAAATATATGGATCATTTAGAAAAAGGAAATTCATGTAAATACCTAGTGGATACACTACGACATATGGTCAGAATTACTGGTTTTTACGACGTATATCCGTTTTTTACACTACTTCTGTGTCTTTTCATTACGTAATTGTGGATTGTTATCAACACATTTACTACAGAAATACTTAAATGTCAGAAACCTTATCAAACTCGATAGTATTCGGCTTATAACTGCTAATAAGTTTAAAGAAAAATGAATGAAATTGAATGTTTAAGTAAAATGTATTCTAAACGTAATTAATTACTGTTCATACTGACAAATAGTGAAAAATTCTACATATATATTGCTTACCTATTTAAACATAAATGACATAATTATTACATAAATTTGCTTGCATATCTTTATCCAACTTTTAAATTAGTTTACAATTATTTTATCGTAAATTACAAAGTTCTTTCTCACATACTAACACCATAAATTAATTACCGATTAAAAGAATAAAGATATTTCTATCTATTTATTTGGCATAACTAAACGACATAGTTTATGTATATTTCATAAATAATTAATAATTAGACAAATCAGTAATAATACTTCTTATTAATAAACAAAACTAATATATTTGTAATACCCTAATGAATAGAAAAGTTAAATCGAGTTTTCTACTCATTGGGATATTACAAATATATTACTTTTTATTTATGAATAATCTACTTAATTCTCAACTTATTTGAAATTATCAAGCTAATCCTTTGTAATGATATCTATTTCTAAGTAATGAAATAAATTATATTATCGAACAAAACATAAATAATTTATCACCGATAATTGTGTTTGGTGACAATAATAAGACTTCATATCAAAAATAGAGAAACAAATCTGTTTCTACACATACATGTCTACTGTTAAATGAATTTAATCAATATTATCATATCGATGTACACAGTAAACTTATTTGAAATAATTGTTTAGACATTATGTTTACAAGTAGTAGTCAGTAGTATCATTTTCATTAGAAATTAATTAATGTTATGAATTAATTATTTAAAAAATAAGCTTTGAAAATAATGTATTTGCCAAACATCTTTCATAATGTTACTTAATGCTTTCAAATAATGTGCTTTTTTACAATGGGTAATTATATATTTTAGTTTGTAGAGATCATAATGTGGTGTTTTAAAAATATTTCATTCAGTTTTTACCGTATGTGTTTGCATATATTTTACCTTTATGAAGTTATCATTGTACTAATTTTCATGCAAATTCCATATAACACAACACTGCCGTTCAACATAATAAATATCTCATCAATGACATTGTGTAACAATTTAAATTTTAAAAGATATTCACTTAACTTCTATTTCGACATATTCAGATAAACCCTGGTTCTATAAACAAACTCATTTCCCTTAAAGACATCAAACCACACAGCGATGATTATGTATTCGAACATGTTACATTATTTTGTTGAATGTCTTAGACAGTGTTGTCAACTAATTATGATTTGATTCTGCAATATTACCAAACCAGGAAGACTTTATGCTAGTAAAATCATATACATGTGTACTGGAATTAAACTAAAGGGTTTGGTTTAAAACTGTGCACTCAAATAATTCTTATATATTTTTTCAACCAGATACTGAATCTTTAGGTAACAAAGATAAAACCAAGTTATCTTTGATGATTTTACCCACTCAAGTTTAATGTATTTGAAAAAGACTTTATTCGATATCATAATGTCTATCTATTAATTGATCTAACACGCTAGTCAAGAAATTCTTCATCTTAAAGCCACACATTTCATATAAGCAAAAAACATGATCTTTTTTTCTTGAAGATAGAAAAACAGAATGAAAAGAATAATAACCAACTTGTTGATACTTTATCAACTGGACTGACATTTTGTTAAATGTTGTAAGATGCTGATGAAACCTACCTCACTGAGTAAAATAAGCATTTTGGGAAATCAAATGGACAGAAATACAACATTCAAGGAATTGTGTATTCAATAAATAGAATTTAAACGAAAAGCTTGGTAGATTATAGACAAGAACTGATTATTAGTATCGAGTGAAATAACTCATTCCAACAGTCACTAGTATTATCAACCAGTAGCACGTCACAGTTTAGTTGCTTTTTAAGGTAACAGCCTCAACTGACTATTTAGCTTATCATTAGACCGAGATGCGAAAAAGCTTTTATTACATCCTAGTCAACAAGTTATTCAATCAAGAAAATTAAGATTTTTCATAAAAGCTTCGATCCGTTAAAATCCTCATTATCAATATTGTGTAAATAAAAAAGATTCATTTAACCCATACTGATGATATTCATAAACTTATAAATTCAATAATATTAAAAATACTTCACTAAAGACTTAAACAAGGTTATCGAAATTTCAAATTTTAAGTTGCCGCGAATAATATAACGTAGCATAATGACGAATTTTCCTCTGGTGACATCGTTAGAAATAGATATCATAATTAACATAACACCGCTGCACTTTTATCTGTGATAGAAAAAAAGGAAATAGATTAATTATCATTTCGTCTTCATGATTTTATGTGCTCGCTACACACGCTAATTTTAATTATCTCTTCATATTCCGTTCACTTTACAGTTATTTGACTTTTGGATGGAGTTTCTATCTACTGTGTGTGATACTGATGAGAGCGATTCATTTTTAATTGCATCGGGTAAGTTAATGTTGGAAATTTAACAGAATAATTATACCAAAGAATAAGAATATTGATTCAGCGTTATAACTGGGGGGCCTTTCTTTTATGTCTGACATGTCCTCGCTTCTATGTCTGTATCGATTCTGTTAGGTTCTCAGTCTTTCTGCTTATACGCAACGATCGAGAATCACTGCAGTTCTTCAATTCTACTGCTTATACTTTGAAACTGTAACCTCTGAAATTCCTATGATGCAAACTAAGAACACGAAAAACTGGAGCAATTAAGATTTGTCGGCACCGCAAGAACACGTCCATAACTAAGTTCCGAAAACCGCATACAAAATCACAACATTAAACATACTTAGAAACATCACATATTTGCGAAAATACTCTCAGTTAATGTTAAAACACACAGTGAACACAGTTAATCTGAATTGATACCGAGCATACGATTGTAATACTACATGGAAGTTTACACTTGTCATATTGAATGACGTTTATACTGTATTGATGCAAAAAACTTATAGACCTAAATACTGTCGTCTTTTTATCTTCTCATGTCAAGGAAGAACATTATTTTACTAGAAGTTCAAAGGTCTGGTCTAACCAGACCACACTATTTTCATAGTGTTGAGTGCTTACATATTTACCCCTCGTGGAGAGCATTGACCGCCCACCAGCACTCGCCATCCAAACCCGTCCTGCACAATCCTTTCTAGTTGCTTTTGATACCTGCTTGCAATTGCCGACGCAGTGTGTATTTTGGTCTTCTTCTTTTTCATTTCTCTTCCGGATTCCAAATTAGCGCTTGCCTCGTGATGAAGTTTGATGATTTCCGTAATGTATGTCCTATCCAGTTCCAACATTTTCAGTCATTCTACAAGTGTTAAATCAAATTGTCCTCATAAATTGGTTCATGATTATTTGTCTTTATTCGTCCTTGAATTCTTGCTGACAGACTCTTCCAGTTGACCTTCATCTATGTGACTGATTGACCACTTAGATATGTGTTAGTAAAGTGAATCTGTGTCGATGTTTCAATTTATTGAAGATTTATCTAAACAATATTTTTCTAGTAATTCGCTGATATTTAAGGTATTTTCAGATCAATTGTAATCCAATTAGAATAATATAAACGACATATCATATCGCTTCACTGCTATTCTATGTTGACGTATGCATAGGTGAAGGAGGCGTTCACTATGTTTAAATAATGTCACTCAGTCAGTAAAAACGTGGAACTTCGTACGTACGTACATCAGTTCAAGTTGCCATACCATATTAGAACAGAGATGCAGTTGTCAATTCAAATATCGTAGTGGTAGAGGTAGTAAGAGTATAAGCAGTAATCGGAAAGATTATGGTTTGAAGATGTTATTCAGAGATTATAATACAGTGAAATAAGTTTGGAAAGAGCAAAAAGGGAAATGAAAAATTCGGATTAGAATTTGGTATGACACAAAGTGTGGATGCACCTGCGCCATTACCAACGATTTTGAGCTATGTCATTCAAGGTATCTAACCAGTGGTTGCTATCATCTCACGGATCCCAACCAGGTAGTCTACACCTACCAAAATGTCCACTTTTCAGTGACTTCACGGATTCGCGCCATGTTTTGGTCTAGCCACTCCTAGCTTTCTTCCGTTCTACACCTACACCATGAAACGTCTCACATCGGGGCAGTCGGTTGTTGAACATACGTAACACATGTTCCAGCCATCGCAACTGATGAAGTTTCATTACTTCATCAATCCTTACCTAGTATTGTATTACTTACTCCGTGGTCCCAGGACATACACCTATGATCGAATACTAGTAACTTACGAATATTTTCTACTCTTACCAACCAAGTTTCACTTCCATATAGTAGGACGGAACAAAGTGGTGCTCAGTGAACCCCTCCTTTGGTTAATAGACGGATATCCCGCCTACGCCATAAATGACGCAAGTTAGCAAAAGCTAGTTGAGCCTTCTGTATCCGTGCTGAGATTTCGTCACATACCAGACCACAAGGGCTGATGAGACTTCCTAGATAAGTGAAGCGGTCGACACGCTCAACTACTTCACTCCCTATCATTAGTTAGGATGTCGGTGCAACTTAATCCTGAAGTACCATTTTGCATTTCGAGGTGGAAAATCGCATCCCGATCATGCTTGCATTGTTGCTTATAGTGGTCAGAAGACTATACATTTTGTCAGCATCTTCACCAAATAGAACTATGTCATTAGCATATTCTAGGTCAACAAGTGAATCTCCTGGTAGAAGTTCAACCCCTGGAAATTTAGATGAAGAAAGTGTCATCTCTAAAAGCATGTCAATGACGAAGTTAAACAAGAGTGGAGAGTGGGCAGCCCTGACGAACGCCGCTTGAGGTAATCAATTCTGATGACTGTTCGCCATAATCTCTGAATAATGTTTCTCCTAGCTGATGCAATTTTCTTTGTAGATAATGTTGCATCTCTTTATTTTTGCTGTTGTCTCATTCTGTCTGCATAAAATGTGATAAAATTATGGAGTTGGTTTATGAACGATATTAATTTTCAATAGTTTCAGACCCTGTTTGATTGTGCTTGAGATGTTTTTCTTATGTGGAAGAACGATCTGTTTCTTGGTTCCCAGAGTTGATCTTTTGATGATATGTGAATCCGCAGACACTTTTTGATTACGTTACTGGGGTAGCCGTTCCACGAGTGATAGATGATGAGTTCGTCTTGTTTTCCATGTAGTGATAGATCCTCAGCGAGTTTGACTCTTCTACATAATTATTCTGGACAGGTCTTCCTTTGATCTGTTAGACTTTTACTATTACAATTTGTTATTTGGCCTGTGTGGCTTGGCTTCCTATATGCTTGCGTTTCCAAAGTCGCTATGTCTGCTATGTTGAAAAGAATTTAACGATAGGATTGTTTTCTGATTCTTATTTTCCTGTAAATTTGATCCTGTTAGAAAGGTTATTATTCATCTTATGAGTATTTTTGAATTCACTGCTCCCTAAAATAACATGGCGTTTACATAACATATCCAAGACCTTGGTCCAGTTTCTGAATCTATGCATCTCAGCTGCACCGGTTATTCCTGATATCGCTGATCTCATTGTTGTTCTTTCCATCTGTTTAAAAATTTGACTGTCGACTCGAAAATATGTTGTAAGACATAGATCTGCGAGTTTTATCAAACACAATAACTTTGTTTTTGAGTGTTCTATTGAGTTCCATTCCTTATTGAGTTGCTAAAATAAGGTATCTTCGTAAAGTTTTATTTCTGATGAAGTGAGTAGAATCTTGAGATCGAAATACATTATTATTTAGTATTTCCTTGGCTGTAAGTTTGTGGTTTTGAAAATATCTAAATCAATCGCATGAGCTGAAAATATTTACCACCATTTCAATAATATTTAGTGGATGTCACAATGTAAGAAATGATCCCGATAGCAGACAACGATGTTTCAAACATTTTAAAAACTTTTTTAGAGTAGTTTGGAAACACGCCTTATTTCGTTTTAAAATATTCATTTAAAGGCAGAAACTGTTAGAAGTCTGAGTGTTCGCAGTCTTCTGACCATAACGTATCAAATGGATTATAAGATTGAAGTATTATTGTATTTGAACGTTGTGCTTCGAATAGTTGAAAATTTCAACAAAAGAACGTAAATTATTGTCATTAAACTAATTCAAAATATCACCTTTTTGCTTATATGCCAACTCAATAACTCCCAGTAACGTAAATCTACTACAAACAAATATATAATTTTCGCAGTTTGAGTCGATAACTAACTTTATCTAGACATCTATCGTAAACTTGGAGTCACTTAAAGGTCGTTTCGTTCCACCATGGGACTCCTCAGTAGCGTGCATTCACCATCGCTCGTACTGGATTTGAACTCAGAACCTTCAGTTCCGCCCATGAACCCTTAACCTCTAGACCAGTGAGCTGCTATCCGAATGTGTTAATTTCTAACTCCAACTAATTCACGATTTTGTGCAATCCTCATTCATTGCCTCCAGTGTTAACTGGCTCAAATCCGACACAAATTGGACTCCAATGGTCACGGCTTTTCACTAAATCTCCAGGAGTCATGTCTTCAAAGTAGTTACTAATGAGTACATGATTATTACCAGTATGGGGGATTTGAGGAGTCTGTGAACTTTTGACAGTTTAAAGCACAAACTGTTCTTAGCCAGATCACCATTGAAAACCCATCCTGGGCAACATGACCATCTAGTTTTTCTGGGTTTATATATATATATATATATATATATATATATATATATATATATATATATATATATATATATCATTGCCTTTTTTCACCTTTCTAGTCCTTAAAAGACAACTGATTACAAATTACTTTCAGGAGTGAAATAGTTTCTTGTCATGATCTGATCTGTTAATCTTAAAGGTTACTGACTCTCATATCGATCATTTGAAATAAAAAGACCATTAACATTAAATTCATAATATAGATGAATTTTTAAACGTTTACTAAATATGATCAATACACTAACTGATAGTCATTAGAGATGTTTAGTTTACAGGATCTCTGTACAAACGATTTATCTTTAAAATCACCACGCATATATATCCATCACCTTAAATATCTTCTTCTTTCCATCCAATAAATAAAAGTGTGAAAATTCGCATTTTGCCATTTGGTAATTAAAGAAGGAACGAATTGAGAGAAGAAATTTCTTTTCAATTTTTTTTCATCATTGCTCTACACTAATATATATATGATTTACAATAATGATATAATACTCATCGCGTGGATACGTTACGTGATAATTACATAATGACATTTAAATTAACTTTGAGTAGTTGGAAGAAAGAGGATTATTAATATTCAAAGTAATTATTTAATCAAGAAGTTGCTACGTTGCGTAATATATGAAAAGCGAAGGAACAGAATTTTTTAATGAATGGTCAATAGGATAGTAATTACGTAAGAATCAAGAGATGAATGTTATAAAGTTCAAAGGCAACAGAAACAAAATTTTTAAAAAAAACAAGTGGAAGAAGTATGAAAAATAGTTCTTTTGAAAAAAATCTTATACTGATGGCCAGGACAGAGAAAGTGGTTGTACGAATCTCTTTTGAATGCAAAGGTCAGGTTTGTGAACATGGATTGCGATGGCTTCCACAATGTGCAAGAGGCACACTCGTATACCATGTGGCAAATTTGATGGGATATTGTCGATAACCTTAAAGGCTTTATTCAATCCAACTTGATGACCTGTGTCAACCGATTGAGAGGGAATAAAACTTTTAATCACTTTTACCTGTCCTTTGCTTAACCATGACGGATGATGTTCCGTAGTACGATGACGGACTTGCCAAATTGTGTTACGGATATACACGAGGTTTTAGCGATGAAATTAGGCAATGTCAGTTACGTGAATCCGTTTCGTATTTACGTAAGACCCCTACGTTTTTAGATCAAATATAAATGTCATAGCTTATTACTTGTAGTATATGATAAACGTTTTGCAAAACAAACACATTTCATTTTTTCAATATTTGTTCCTTAGATGAAACAGAATACGACCCATTCATTAGACCATATGAAAGTTATACTAAACGAATAGTATATCCAGTCTTAGTAACTGAACAAAATTGTACCGTTATGAAACCAGCTAATATTCAAGTGAATATAAATGCTGTTCCAAGAAATCTCCGCGTTATCTTCTACGATCTAGACTATACAATATCTACAACCGTGCAATCAGTCGATTTACAAAATTGTGGAACTATGCGTCAACATTTTCCAAGTTTCAATGAACATAGTCAAGAAGAAGATTTAATATTTAATGCCGAAGATATTATCGGTATAAGGTAAATGGAAATTCAATATATTATTCATTTGATTTATACATACTGGATTAATTTGTCAATTAATTTGTCTATGAAGCAGGTAAAGTATTATCACTATTCAACTGTCTAATTTGGAATGTATCTCACCAAAAATAATTAAATTTTATCAATTAATTTCACAGGTTCAAGTCATGAGTCAACTGAAGCTAGACCACCATGGAAAACCTGGAAGCACTGGATGGCCGTTTCGCCCTAGTATGGGATTCTTCAGCAGTGCTCATCCATGAACCCGCATCCACAAAGCCGCGCACTGCTGAGGAGTCCCATACTGGGACAACATAGCCATCCAGTGCTTCCAGGTTTTCCATGGTGGTCTAGCTTCAATTGACTCATGATTTCAACCTGTGAAATTTCCTAAAATCTCCACAAAACTCATTTATCAATTAAGACAATAGATGTAACCAATAATTGCTTGTAAATGAACAAGCAGTTATGGAGTATATTTTAAGATATGGGCATATCCAAAGAAGATCGTTAAAAGTTAAAAGATTACAAATATTTCTTAGAAAGATCTTTGGTTTTTCAGTGATTATCACATTAATAATAGAGTGTTTTAAAATTCCAAACATCTTGGATATGATATTTGATTAGATTAGTAAAATATATAATGTTCCATCCATTCTTTATATTCACTTTATTCAGTCATTAGTATATAATTCATAATACACCATTACATAACAATAGTCTTTTTTTGTCATAAGCCTTTGAGTATAAATTAATAAATATATCAGATAATTCTACTGCTATACATCTTCAAATTAACTCCAAACTATTTGAATGTCATCTATACTTTGTTTTACTATTTAAAAACTTATGAATTTCTCCCAATTTTCAACATAATAATTATTAGATTTTATTAATCTTTTTAGCATGACAGAAAATAATAGTCGCAGTGTTTATTTATACACTACCTGTTCTTTACCAAACTACCGCATATCATTTTCCTGTGAAAAAGTTAAAATACAGTAAGTATTAATTAATGACCTTACCTTATTTACTTTAACTGAAAAAAAAAATTTTTTTTACTTCCCTGACTTTTATTCTGTGAACCGTTAATTTGATATGTAGCTATATAGACGCTAATATGATGACAAACAAATGAAGCAATGTACAAGGACATAAACAATTGCTCTTGGATTCAAACAATGTCGAAACATGATTCATTAAGTTTAAATGTAGTAAGCTGAATGTTTAAATTGCACTTATTTACACCGAACGATTATGAAATCAATAATCTCCGTAAGCTTTTGGGATTCCACTAACTATAAAATACAAACACATGAAAATGTTATGATTTCATTGCATATTTGAGCTCGACAACCTTTCAGTTAACTGACTGATAAAATTACTCGATTATATTTGGACTATAAAAATGATGCTTAATATTTCGACAAGTATCTCATTATGGAGATTAGTAAAAGTTGCGGGCTTCAAAACACAGGGATTGAATAGTCTAAAATTGTTTTAATTTCATTTTTAACTAATTTCATATGGTTGATGCCCCGAACCGTCCCAGCCATTCCTAAAAGAGGAACATTGTATTAGCCTGTTTAGTAATTAAAGTAATGACGTATTAATTTTGATGGACATGTATTCGATAATGTAAACCAAACAGTTTTTTGATCAGTTGTAAGTTTTGAAGCTGAGAAGTACAAAGATTACTTGGTAAATTCTGTCTTATTACGATTTTATGAACGACACATGTGTCTCATACACAATTATTAATAAAAATCAGTTAGAAAGAGGAAATACTATTGTACTTGTTAAGCATAAAGAACACAACCGAACTACTTTGAATTGTTAGTCATTTTAGCTAATTTGTTGATTGCATATGATTTCCACATTAAAGCTGATGTCAGTTTGCGATGAAAACCCTTACTCTAACACCATAATCTTCTAACACTAACACTTGGCCATGTTTTAAAATATGCGTCATAACCTTTCTCGTTCTGAATTGCTTCACTGTATACTTTAGGTTAATTTTGTATTTTATTTGGATATCCTTTGACTTAGAAATAGCCATAAGCTGTATTGACTTCCAAAATCCTAGAGTATCCTAGGATATCGTGAGCAGTCTACTAGTGGTATCAGTAAAAATGCCAAAGATTACAAATCTTATCATTGCTAATCCGTTTAATGATATATATTTTTGTAAAAAACTTACCTAGGTAATCTATCTAAATCGTTGGGTTAAACATGTTCAATGCCATACATTAATCCAATAGTGCTCACAACAAATATCACATTTTTTCAAACACATTTGTATCCCTACTAACGGACAAAAACATCTTTTGGAGAATAACCTTCGACTTAAATATCCTAATCACAGATGTTTGCTTGACCTACATTGTTCCACATACTATTTAAGCTAACATTGACTTTAAAAAGGTGGTTCTTTATAAGAACGACTTTTAGTGAGTTGTTACACATCAGAAATTCAACTTCCTTTTCATTCAAATACTACAAAACATGTTATTATTTTCATCATTATAACCTGTCCATCTAGTAATCCGCTTAATAGAACTCATTAGTTCAACTGTTGATTATAATATTTACAAACTTTCATAAAATTCTGATCTTATCAATCTCAATTTCAAGCTTGTTAATTAAAAATCTAATTTCATTCATTCTTTTGTTTGCAAAATTTAAATAAACCAGTAATGACAAGATTTGCAGCATAAAATCCATTTATTCTATTTCATAACTTTTCATATTATGTTATTAAAAAAGAATTTTCCATATCTTAGTACGTGCAGTTTATTTCGAAATAACACAGAAAAATATTAGAAGCAGGTAAAAGACAAAACATATTTAACATAATTGTAAACAATGACTAGTACTTGAATGTTCAAAATGAAGTCATATAAAGTAAAGTAATGTCAAGGATAATAATGAAAGAACAAAATGAAAAACATTTTCTTAATAAATGAGTGATTATTTAATGAGGCCATCCTGTTGTTATATATAATATTAAATTAATCCATACAAGTGAATGTCGGTGCAATGTCAAAAATGTATAGAATGAAATAAAGAGATCATCTAACTGACCTTTACATCACTATAAACATTAAAGCATAGCAATGTGGAGTTTACTATGTTGTCTTTCTGTACACAAAGACCAAGTTGAGAAAGCTCGACAGCAGTGACAAAAGAGAGTAGATGAGGCATTCATAACTTGTTGGTTTTTTATGTCCGCAACACGTTAACTGCCCATTAGGTCCCGGGTAATCGCACCAATAAAAACTATACTTCCTTTAAAACTCACGTGTGAATGGATATGGATAAGCATATGCCCTTCTTTTAGTCCTTCCTATAAACTTGGCGTCATAAGTATACGTAAAGTTTGGTGAAGTTTTGTTCTCTGAGCTGGATGATTTGGTCGTGGAGCTTTCATCGTTCTTCTGAACGACATCATCAGCACAAACTTCAGATAGAAGTGAAGTGTTTGAATTTCTCCATATGTGTCTCAAAGCTTGTTCTGTGCACCTCGACACATATGGAGAAATTCAAACACTTCACTTCTATCTGAAGTTTGTGCTGATGATGTCGTTCAGAAGAACGATGAAAGCTCCACGACCAAACCATCCAGCTCAAAGAACAAAACTCCACCAAAATCATCCACCTGAGCTACAAATCTTCTCCACCGTATACGTAAATTCAAAGATATATTTGAAGATAATCTCAGAGACATATTGGACATTTTTTTATTGGTTTAAAAAACATTTGGTATTATATACTAAAAGAAAGTTGCGCTACAAGGAAGTTCCTTTATAGCATCGTCTTAATACAGATGCATATAGGCTTTTTAACAATTAGATTATTGGGTCATTTTGCAAACACTTTTCAATAATTCGTAATATATTTCTATGAACATTGAATTTCTATAATGCGAACAGTTTCTTGCTGGTTCATATCAACAGAACACAAAGCATAATTTTAGTTTAAAAAGGTTTTCATCAAAATAACGTTTATAACTAATAGAATAAAAACTTTAGTATTTCAAGTATTGTCACGTTCATAATTCTTTTCTGAATACAACCCAATATTTTTTGAAAACTTTGTTCTTTACCTATTAATGAAGTTTGCTTAATATGTCAATTTCTCCAACTATTTCATTTTCTTTATTCAAAGGTTTTATACGGTCTTACGTGATTGTCTTTTTTCAGAAGAGGAAAATTCTGGTTTATTACTAGACGAACATTCTTCTGAACCATTAAAAGTATATTTTGATTTTAAAAAGTTGTTTACTTCATTTATTTTTAATTTGATAATTAGAAAATAATCTAGTTCAACCCACAACATAATTTGTCATGAATATAAAATGTATCTATAGATCAACCGGCACACAGTACACTTCAAATTCTCATTTCATTCAAACACTGTCTAGGTCATACAAATAATTCAGAGAAAAAACATGTTTGTTTGAATGAAAATATAACTTTGTTTATGTAATCCGGCCATAAATAATGAAATATGTATAAGTAAATATTCATTAATATAATTAACTGAATTAAGCAAAGAACGTGAATTATACAGAGAATATATATATGACCTAGTATTAAACTTCAGTGATTGTAAATATGATGTTGATCTGACTTCATGAGAACATATAATAAATTGTTATTTTAATATCTTATCATAAAAATAATAAAGAATAAGTATCCAACTCAGCTACATTTCATTACAATGTTTTCTAACGAAACAGTTCTCATCGTTATTGTTAATAGGTAGTATAAGTTATTACACTGTAAACAACAGTAAAAAGGAATTGTTTTCTAGTCTCAATAAATTCACCTTGAAAAACAGGTTTAAATAGGCGTTTATATCGAACTAAACACGTATAGATATTAGTTTGTGTAAAAAATAATAAAATCTCGGTACATTAACCCCTTCTTGAGTTAAACCTACAACTAAATATCAATCAGAATGATTACAAAAATAACGTGATACAAAATAAAACTTAGATGTAAATCGTCGACCAGATCTTGGGAAAACGGAGTCAAAACTGTTTAATATAAATAAATGTTTACAGTTACATTTTAGACTTCTATAGTTCCCAAATATTATTGTGTTTAATATTTTAAAACTAAATCACTAGCTGTCCTTATACTGATTTGCTCAAATTTTGAGGAAAATCATCATTATTGTGTATATGTCACAAGGAAAGGATTCTAGTCCCGCATACAATTTGATATGATGGAATAGTATACTCCACAAAAACTAATCACATTTCTTTATTATTTAAACAATGGCACATTATAATACAATTGATAATTCCATTGAATTTGTTCTTTTTAATTTATATATTCATAGTGGACATATGATTTAAATGATCGTAATGAACGTGAAATTCTAGGTAGAGGGAGTTTTGGCGTGGTTTATACAGGCTGGGACCTCACAAAGCAAATTAAAATGGCTATCAAAGAAATTGATGCAGTGAATATAAGGTATGGTAAATTATTATTGCATCATCTCATTTATTTAATAGATAATGTATTTTCTTCGAGTTCCAGGCTATGCATAGATACATGTAGATCCAGATACATATTTCAAAATCCATGTTTCAAACCCATGGCCTTTTAATGAGCATTTCTTTCATGAACATGTGGAAAACCCATATTACTACATCATTACTTGTAAAAAAAGTGTATTGTATTGCAAGTAAATTACTTTTTTGTGGTGTAGTGTATGTCACTTAGCTACTTATGATATAATTAGTGTGTAACAGCAGTCTGAAGTGGAATACCTGACAGCAGAAGATTATAATGTAGATAAAAGGAAGGAAATTGGAGAGCAATCGAGATAACAACAGAAATAAAAGAATAATGAAACATATAAAGTCAACTTAAATAAAATGTACAAATGATGTATTTAATGTATGATTTTCATATTTTGCTAATCGACTGTGCAATTATTCATTAAACATCAAACTGGTTTTCCCCACCTGAGTTTTCGTTCTCTTCAATGGTAATCTACATGAATGAGATTTTTACACATAAAGTTTGTGATATTAATTACTTTCAAACAGTCATGATGAACAAATGTTAATTATATCTAGAAATCAACAGTTTTCAGATTACATAGATCTTTTTTTATGCAACTCTATCTAAAGTAATCAATACAAAACATCAGTTTATGATAATAATTCTTAATATTTGTCGAATCAATTTTCAATTAAAGAATAATTACCTACATACTACTAAATAATCATGAAAAACTTATATTACACTATCAATAAATAGACTTTATTCTCCTTTTTTTAATGTTTATTTATTCATTTATTCAAATGTTTTTACCTCTAAACTTCTACTATTATTCCTTTTACAAAATATAACTGTCTAAATACAATAGAATAGTACTAAATAATAGAGATATGAAAAAAAAGATGGTAAATTGTTTTCACTAAGAAAATAATTTGTTTATACCACGTGAAAATAGAATAAAAATTGTTTAATATTTTGATTTTAAACGTATGTAGAAAATATAAGAATTTTAACTAAATCATAAGATAACCTTTGTTGGCTACAAGTAATCATTTATTTGTTTACAAACATAAAGACATGATCAATTGGAATAAAATATATGTGAACATTTCACAGACAATGAAGTCAACACATATTTAACCTTCATAACTGAAAACAAACAGAAAGAAAAAAACAACAGATTTAAACGTTTCTTGAACAAATTCCAGATATAATGTATATGACGAAAAGATGTTTTTTCAAAAACGTAATGAAGAGTATCTAAGACTAGAGAAATATCTTATTATCAAAATATAATTTATTATTTTAAGGTGTAACAGAGAGATTGATTAATGAATAAATAAGTATGAATAAACCATCTAATAACGTCATTGATGACCTGATCTATTTAAACATGATTTATCATGCTTAGTATAGAAACTATGCATTTTAGTTGACTGATTTATGTTTATCATAGATGGAAACAAAAAGTAGATAGGAAATTGAAAATTCTTAACTTATGCGTTACGTTACTATAAGCAAGATACTTGACGTTTGTTATTAGACAGTAACCAAATCATTATGTAATTGAAGTCTTTTTCCACCGTACCCTTCCAAAGTCCAAAGAAGTCATTTTTTCTTTTTAAAAAAAGCTATTTTTGTCAGAATAGATCTATATAACTGTTGTTATGAACTCAATTATCAACAAATTATTATCTATAACAATTCGCTGTACTTTATCAAACCACTTAAAATGTTCGTGCGAAACCACCTTAATTTCTGAATAATATCAGTGTGTATTGTTATTATTAACCACTGGGGTGATATATATATATATATATATATATATATATATATATATATATATATATATATATATATCATTTCAGCAGGTAACTTCACTAGAAACTCACCTATTAATATATCCTCGGATTGAAGATAACAGATATGTTTGCAAAATGAGCATAACGTTAGTAAATCTTGTCAATATTATTGTCTATATTATTCGATTTTGGTTTTTCTCTACGGAATACGTTAGTAATTTTGATGCAAACATTTCTCTAAATAAAGTAATTTGCTTCGTAGCGTTAAACAACTAAACGATTTTTCTATATTTTTGATTCCATTTAGGGAATTTCAACCGCTACATGATGAAATTCGATTACATTCAAGACTTCATCATAAAAACATTGTACAGTACTTTGGATCTGTGGATCATGAAGGAGTGTTTATGATATTTATGGAACTGGTTCCTGGCGGTACGTCTTGTTTAGTGTAATTGTAACTATTTTATTCTAATTATTTTAGAACCCTAACTAAATAAACCTTAAAACTCTCTCCGTTTCATATGCTTATCAGCATTGATCAAAAAGCTTCACGCTACATTTAATATTCACGATGATGGCTGAATGATAGATATTTAACCAAACTACATTTCTTTAAATGTTTCCGACTCAGTAACTCTTTTCAGTTTGATATCACTAACGAATTGGACATTTTTCGTAAAATGAGTAATCGAATGATCATTTGAAGTGTTGAATTGATACTCTTTTCTTTGTAGCGTCATTAACATCACTTGTCTCAAAATATGGTGCTTTGAAAGAGGAAACAGTAGCAAATTATTCAAAACAAATATTGGAAGGCCTACAGTATTTGGTGAGTATTTTTTATTACAACTATGTAATACGATTCACAATATGCCTTGGATTTAATTTACAAGGAATCATCCTCTACGAACTAAAATATGCTCCCACCTCAAGATGGCCTCCTAAAACAGTTTTACGGGATAAAACAGAGCTTCAAATCATGAGTTGTACGTATTTAATGTATTCTGATATATTTCGAGTTATCTAACGCATTTATAAGTTAGGATCTGTAAGTTTGAATGCCTAAAGTGATATAGATGCTTGGCTATTGCCTATATCGGATCTTCAGTATCATATAAAGTTAGTATTGTATGGATTAAGTTCATGACTGCTCGTTAAACATAAAAGAAACACTAAAAATTATTCATTTTTGGTCCACTTTGAATAGGTTTTTACGTAGTTGACTAATAAAATAAAATGACAGGTACGTCTTAACATAGGTAATAATGGAATATATTTACTCACTGTCGGTATCAAAAATTAAAAGCAACATTATATCTATCAGATCGCTCTAAAGTTTACCTATTTTAATAATGATTTGATCATTTTTCATTCGTCCATTGATTTTCTCTACAAGTAATATTTATCTATGTAGCTAAAAAAAATGACAAACTAATGTAAAAACCCTATGATCCCGAAGTATGATATATGACTTCTCAGTACAATCTGTTTGAGAAATTCCATTATTTTTTAAGCATACTCATTACTTTTCAGTAGTCTGTATCAGAAATAAAAAAACTGTGTAGTAATTATTAATACAAATTGCATTGCTAAATCGAAAATCTCAATTCATTAGTTGACTTTCAGCCCGAAACGGTGGACGTAATTTAAAAGAGAATAAAGTTGTTTATTTTCATTAATTACTTGTTCTAACAATTATAAGTAATTCAGATGATAGAACGGTGCAATTAACAAACTATTATGAAAAAAATGTCACCACCAGTAAATCAATGAACATTGGTATCTGATTTTTCATGTTACGATCTACCTCGATACGGTTTTCGCCTTATTTATCTATCTGTTAATACCGAATAATTGAATAAGAAAACTTACATTCATATATCAGTGAAACTTAATAGCTATTTTACTAGTGTTACCTAGACACATTTTACTACTTTAATCATATCAATGTAGTATAAACGGTCTTATTCAACTATTCAACTAACTTTATTATTTTTTGCTTGTAATAAAATATATTTATACCGCTCATTTTCACTACTAATGATTATCACCATATTATATTTTATTAATAAAGCATGCAAATCGAATTATTCATCGAGATATTAAAGGAGATAATATTCTCGTTAATATGTATAAAGGTGAACTGAAAATAACAGATTTTGGAGCATCAAAAAGACTAGCAGGTTTGATTCCACGAGCTCAAACATTTAAAGGTAGGTAAATTTCTTGTTATAAATATTTGTCAAAAATTTCATTGAAATAATGAGTGTACTGACAAAATTAATATCACTGGAATTTCAACCTCATTAGAATGCTTTCTGGGTATATGCACTTGTATTCCGACTAACAGTCTCTTGAATTATATTTTATACTAATTTGTTCAGAAATCTGTTTATTCCACGGATGGACCTTACCAATAAAAATCAGAAATTACTAAACATCTATTTTATCCTAGTATGGGACTAAGTAGTGCTTATCTAAAACTAGCGACTGGAATCAGGACTTCCCGACTTCATGACAAGCGCTTAAACTTTATATCTATTGGGTTACATTGCTGGCTTTGTTTGATTCAGCAAAATAACCCATTATATAATTTGCAAAATCCAAATTATGATACAAATAATGATGGTATACTATAAACCATAAGGAAAACAAACCGCAGCCTCTTGATTATATGTAGATTAATGAAAGCAGTTATTCAATGAATAATGAATGTGTTCACAATTAAAATTATTGACAAGCGAGCTATTATACTACAACAAAATTATCAAAGAAATTAGTAATAGAAATTATGTTCTAAAATTATTCTTAAAGTTTCACAATCCCCAATTTATTCAATCACCTACTTGTTGATCAAATTCGTCAAGTTTGATATTAAAATATCTTTAATCATAGAACTATGTGCATTTTGGTAAATCAAATATTTCACTATGTATTTAATGAGCCACAGAAAAACTATATCACTTATTAAAAGAATAATAAAGTTTTACTATCTATGAATTCATTATATCTATTGACAACAGAATAAAAAAAACCCAGATAAACAGAGATCTTGAATCATCATCATCATCATCATCATATGATGTGAATAACTATGGAGAAAAAAATTATCTAATAATTCATTCAAATGTAATTTACCAATCAGCTGTTCGAAAATCAATCGTTTGTCATTCCATTAAAACGAAAAAAAAACATTTAAAAATGATTTTGCTGATATAAAGTTTTAATATGAACCAAATTTCTGAATCATTGTTCTTTATTCTATTCACTATTTGAAAAAAAAAGCCAAACTAAATTCATTTTCTAAGTATCAGCTTCTTGAAAATTATTCGTATTGATAAACAATAATCAACAATGCTAAACAATTAATTAAGGTGACAAAGTTTATCAGTTAGTACATGTATATACTTACATAACCATATGTAAGATCATTGGAATGTTTATGAAGAAAACAGGTTAAAGTATTATATACCGACAGCTTTGAGTTAACCAATCGGAATTAAGATAATAGCTCCATTATTTTGCTCAAAGTTTTATGTGCAACGATAGATAAAGTGTGTGTTATTATAAATGAAGTGAAAATCAACAATATTTGGTTTTTGGAATATTGTAAATCAATTAAAATATCTATGATACAACGATAAAATGAATTTAAAGTGGTGCTTAAGTTACATGGTATACCTGCTTTTATGTCAGATTATACTTTTACCAGAACTTACTTACTTACGCCTGTTACCCCTCATGAAGCACAGCCCGCCGACCAGCATTCCCCAACCCACTCTATCTTGGATCTTTCTTTCTAGTTCTATCCAACTGTTGTTCATTATTATCATGTCTGTCTCCATTTCTCGGCGTAATGTGTTCTTTGGTCTTCTTCTTTTCCTTTGGCCTTGCGGATTCCAAGTGAGGGCTTATCTTGTGAAGCAGTTGATTGCATTCCTCAATGTGTGTCCTGTCCACTTCCAGAGCTTCTTCCTGATTTATTACTCCACTGGAATCTGGTTTGTTCTCTATCACAATAGGTTGTTGCTGATAATGTCTGGTCAACAGATACGGAGTATATTGTGTAGGCAACCGGTAATAAATACTTGTATCTTCTGGATGATGGCTTTCGTAGTTCTCCAAGTTTCCGCCCTCTACAGTAGAACTGTCTCGATATTTGTGTTGAAAATTCCGACTTTGTTATCACTTTTACCAGAAACAAATTAAGTAAAAAGTTTATTATTTAAAATTCGAAAATTAATAATAGTTGTTGAGTGGTTACAAAAGATATGAGTTTACATAAGTTATGGATGATTGATAATCACCCGATGAACGAAAGATTAGTTTCAAATCGGACAACAATAATTGATAGATAAAGACTGTCTGATTAGGGTTCTCGCGATTTTCGTAACCAATAGTTAGCAACGTTGAATGATAAGGTTCAGAGTCAGTCACAACGATGTCAATCAGTTTACTCTTTGTCATATCTTTGGTCCTGAGTTTCTACTTCTTGAATTCATTCTTTCTTCCCGAATCATTTTGTCTATGACTAATTATTCCTACAACCACTGTCGTTTATGCTGCTTATGCTGACAGATATAAGTAGTACGTAGCAGCAATAGGATACAGAATATTAAGACGGGAAGAAAAGGGATGAAATAGGAAACCAATTAAAAAAGCAACAGAATTATAAAAAGGATATATAAAAGATAATGCACAAAAGCTGTACAAATGTATTTAATGTATGATTTTCATATGTTACTAGGCTTTTGTGTGATTTTGCATTGAACAATAATTCGGTTTACCTTACATGAGTTTCGTTCATTACATTAATATTACTACTGTTACTATTACTGCTACTAATACTACTCTGTAATTTGTCTTAGTGATTTAGTCTTGCTTTAGTGACGTGGTATCGAGACATAAGGCAATGCATTTGTGAACTGGATTGACTGAATATCTGATGGTTTTTGTGCTCAGGAAAATCACTTGGTAATAAATTGTTGACTGTTTCTTTCTGGACGCATAAGTTTAAACTTATTACTACTTAGCACTTTAGCGAAGAGCATTTGAGTTGTTTCTATCTATAAATTATTTTGAAAGTATCGTAACCGTCTACCACACAATTCAATAACTCTAGTTTGCGTTCAGAATAATCCTGTATATATTGTCGTAATTGACATATTTTACTGTTTTTAATGTCCATTATTTTAGGTACTATGCGCTACATGGCACCAGAACTTATCAGGGGTTGTTGTGGATTTCCGGCTGATATATGGAGTTTTGGATGTACTGTTGTAGAAATGTTGACAGGAAAACAGCCGTTCAGTGAGGTAATAATATGTAAACAAATATTCTTAATCAATTTATAATTTGATGAAGATAAAAGTCTTTCCAACCCTTCTTTAGATGCATGTAAACATTTTGTTTACATGCAAGGTTAGTATATTCAACACATAAACCAAGGGTATAATTCAATTTATTAAATGTTTGCTGTGATTAGTAAGGCTTACTCACAGCTTGTATGAACAGGTTCAATATGGTGAAATTCCAAGATCTCATTAACATTTATAGTTTATCTACATCAATCAGATAACGGCAATTTTTAACATTTATTTGAAACTGTTCACTTCTAATGAGGTATATTCAGCCCATAAAGATTAAATTTGTAACCACAGCGCACAAAACGAGTTACAATACACTACTTACTGAATGTGACTAGAAGTAAAGCTTAAGTAGGTGTTCTGTACTTTTGTTTACTTTGCAGAAAAATGTTCTAGTCTCTCCCATCAGTGTATAAAACCTAAAGCATTGTTGGAAATCTTCTTTAGTATGAATACTCCGACTAGGCGTCAATAATGTTTAGTACAAACAGAATGTGTGAAAAATTTACATCACATAGTACCATTCAAGAAAGTAGTGTGCTACAAAGTGAAAGGTCTTTCATACTAAGAATAGGCGATGTATAAGCTCGTCAGCTGATTAGTTACACCCTTATACAACGTTTGTTTAAAGAATAAGTAGTTTAACGTATAAAGATGTAAGATCAATGGTGATATAAATCAAATGAATAGTATTAGTACAGATCTACATACCCTTTGATTTTCTATTCATGTTAAATTTCTTCCTTGTTAGCTAACGTCAATCATTTTTACTTAACAACTTATTCACTTCTGAGTTTTCTTCTGTTTGACTCTGAAGTGAAGTCGTAACTTCTTGTTTTGTTGTTTTTAAGACTTCTTTAAATAACGGTCGGTTTTTGTTATGGTCTCATCTGTAAGGATATTGGTAATCAGTACATTTACAGGTGATAATTAATAGATTAATTCCCTTTAGATCATAAATTGCGTATCATTTAAAGTTCTATCGTTGAAATTGCATCACTAGTTTCCATTTCATTTGGTTATGTTCTGGTCTTCTTTGTGATGTTTCTATAGATTAAGCTCATAACATAATCTAAAGATAACGTCAATTCAATTTGTAACATGTAGTTTCTAACGAAATATATCCAACAATCTACTACTTCAAGCCATACAGTAGGATGTTAAAATAATCTTACAAACGCATAAATGAGATGTACAGGTAATCAAATAATATTCGTAATACCAAAGTACAATTCTACTTAATCCTATTTAGTTCTCCGGTCAAACATGTTACGTCCCAAATGAATCACATGGCAGATGTTAGGTAACAATTAACCGTTTCTATACTTACGTAAACGTTAAAACTTATAGAAACTTTATTTATAAGAAGATAGCATTTTTGTTTTAAGTAACCCATCGACTTCTGTGAAACTCATACTTAAAACAAGATCCTGATTTTGTTAATCAACTGTTCAATTTCAACCATAAAAATGTAGTGAATGTGATCAATTTTTGTGCTTAAGACTGCATAACTATTTTTCTATAAACTTTCACATCTTTTATAATTGCTACTTGTATATAGAATAACGAAAGGAAATCTGGATCTCAATATTTTACTTCTATGTGCGCTTTTGGTTTAAATCTGTTGAAGTTACATATAAACACAATTGTGAATCCATCACTTATACTAATTCCCATGCTTGTTTCAGCATCGCTGTTTGAAAATGTGGGTTAACTTTATCTTCTCATCTATAATCGAGTTAACATTAAGTCTACATATTCGACTAAACAAATATGAAGAAGAAATAACATGACAATTTAAACACCACTTATCCAAAACTGAAAGCACATAATTTTCATAGTCATTCCATTTACTTTGAATGTCTTTCTTTGGTTTATGTACAGTATTTATAATTTCATCGACTGAAGTAATCTCAATGATAAAAAAATTAATTTAACGACTACATAAAAAATAAAACAAGAACATGATGTTACAATATGATATGTACTAGTGTACTAAAAAGTAATATGGACTACCGGAAAAAGAACATCGATTGTCTATAATCTAGAATAGTTTGTTACTAATAGTACAATGAAAATAGATTACCAAAGATCAAATATATGAACCCAATGAGATCTCTGTTCACCAACGAAAAACCGGATGTAACGACAATAGACTGTCTTACTATACAGAAGTAATGCTTGATCTTTTACATGATTAGGCTAAAGGAATCCAGTGGCATATATATTCAATGCATTCCACACTTACGATGAGACCAGAAAAACAATTTATATCTAGAGTTTTTCAAAACCATATCATCAATACAGCTGTTAATGAACTTAAATAACATTGATGACCGAAGTAACACTGAAGTAATCGCCTCCATTTGTTAAAGTAGATATTGATAAGTTTGATAATTTATGCTTCTTCATATTCTACTTTCTTTCGTGGATTTGGTGGGCTTTATTGATACAACTGTTACTAGCTCCAATTTGCCGATCAATCAATATTCGACATCTAGACCAGTTGTCTCATATTTTTCCCTGAGTTCACACAGTTTATCTATTATATTCAATTATGTTTCCTAGTGTGAATTTTTGAATTATCATCCTGAAATAATACTTGATTCATTCATACACACATATTTTGAACAGTCTTGAACATTAACAAAATTTGCTCTCTTTTAGTTTTGTAGGAATTTTCAATACTTCTCGCCATTTCACTTCTTCGACTGTCTTTCGTTTTTTGTTCAAATTAGCTTGGGAATGCAATGACTGCCCTATATCGAGTTGGTATGGATTTGCAACACCCCAAGATCCCTGATGGAGTTTCAATAGCTTGCAAAAACTTCATACTGAAAACATTTATCATAGAACCATCCAATCGTGCTAGCGCTAATGAACTGTTATCAGATCAATTTATTCTAAGGTAATGGAAATTTTTTTCAATATAAACTAAACTAGATTCACATCAACGATTTATTAACACTACATTTGAAACATTCAGCATGTTTTTATATATTCTGTGTACAAGTAAAGTAATTTGAAATTTTAACAATATCATTATATATATATATATATATATATATATATATATATATATATATATATATATATATATATATATATATATATATATTAAAAGGCTCTTTATAGAATACCATCTCATAATTTATAAATCTGGCAATCAATTTCATACAATATCTCACCACTTTATGATCATTTATTTATATATAAGATATGTGACAAAAAAGAGGTAACATTTAAAGCAACATGATTTCTGATCAATATTATTCAGAAATTATGTTCTGAATTTGTCTGTTCTTTTATTGATCTAATTCAGTATGTTTCATATGTTTGATATTTGCATTAGATTATCTTTGCTATATTTCGTGTGCCAAGATTTCCTTGTTTTTAGTTTGGCTAGCATGTTTAAATCTTTGTTATGTTTGTTATGTATGTGAACAGCTACATTGTGTTATCGTAACTACTAGATTGATCCCTGATTAGTTTGAAGTGTTTGGTTTTGAGCAACCTGAGACTTTGACCGAATGATAGTCAATAGAATAATTATTTCGTGAACTAAGTAGATAGCTGCTGCATGTTTTCTTAGAAAGCTGTATAATATTTACAAGGTTTTTTAACTGATTTCGAAGTGGTTGAGCGCGTTGACCACTTCTCTTATCTTAGAAGTCCCACCAGCTCTGATGGGTTGGTGTCTAAAAGAATCTCAGGATCTATTTCTCTAATCCCGCATGGCTTTTACAAACTTATATCACTTGCATCATAGGTTCGATATCCACCTGACAACAAGTATGCCTATAGGTTGCACAGAAGTTTTCTCTGTGTTACTCTATAGCTTCCAAACATGGTCTATGAGATGTAAAGACAAGCATAGACTGAAGATTCTCGATCATAGATATCTTTGAAATATTACTCGCGTTTCCTGGAACGAGCGAGTGGGCAATAATGAAGTTAAGCATAGAGCACTAGGCGATGGCGATAAATCTGTTGATGAGGTAAAGAATTTTCATTAACGGAGATGCTTATGACAAATGTCACGTATGCCTGACCACCTCCTTCCTCGATAAGTGGCGCCCATCAGTGCAAAAGTAGGCTTAAAGAAAGCTATGAGAGGCCAAAGTAAGTCAGCATTAATCTATGTACACAATGACTGTTAAGTTGAGCTATGTTGGTATAAAAACACTAATTTGTTTGATTCTTCTCCATATATAGAATCAACTGATAATTAGGTTCATTTCTTCAAATTATTTCCATAATCTAACCACTTTTTAATAAATTTAAGACAATTAGTCGCTTTTAATTGGTAACTTTAGAAACAATTATCTTTTCATTGCTATTGATGAACGTCATTATTTCTAACTGTATTGCGTTTCTAATTGCTTGTAGTAGTTTGGGCACAAATCCCCTTATACTAAGCATGTTTTTCTAAAATCTACCATAGATCTTAATATATATATGTGTTTAATCTTTTGTATTATCACATTCATTCAGAGTACACATTTATAAAACTAAAAACCAATATAAGTTTGTTTTATTTAAGTAGCATAACAATCAACTAATTAGTTTTTGTCGTTTTCATTTGTATTGGAATAATCTTTTGGTTAGAGTTCCTTGTTCTTTTGTTACCAGGATTTTCTTTGAAAATTATCCTTTTAAATAACAGTAGGAACCATAAATGTTTATGTTTTTTTAAGTCGGTATCTTATCTCTGATATTATTTTCGAAATATCCACTTAGTTTTTGAATAGTTTGTTTAAAATTATCTTCAGCTACCTCCCGTGATTGTTCATTACATACTTCCACTACTGCCTCTTCAGACTACATGATACTCAGGATTTTTCGAAAACAGTCTTGTACGTATGACAATTTTTCATGTATATAAAAATTAGTTATATTGTTCGTGATTGTATTCGATCACATGTTGAAGACATTACCCTATGTTGCACCTTATCTAAATGGTTATTGTTCGACAAAATTATACGTTACTCATTAAACGCATGCATAGTGACATACAAGACTCGTTCATCACGTTAATTATCTCAAGTAAATATAACTTCACAGGTTTTTCAAATAAAAACGGAGAAAACTTACGTAGCTGAACTATTGTTGTTATAATGAAAGCATATACCTTAAAATATTAATTTGTATTATAGTACACAGATGCTTCCATGATTCATATAACTGTTGTACACAACTATTCGTTTAAGCACTACAGTTTATACATAATCAGCATTGACATTTCTATTCTTTAAAATTTGCCAAATTTTTCCAAATTAACCGTAAATTCTGCTATAACATAAATATCCCTATTCACCTCATCTACTTACGAGTAGTAAAATTAGTTAATTGTAATTAATGAGTCGCAATTCTTTATTTCTGGTCGTCGCGAACATTGTACCTTCAATTTGATGTCGAGGATTCATGTCTCCGATTAAAGTGTAAACTATTAATATTTTAAGTTGTATTTGAATAAAATTAGGTATGCTTGGTGTTTATGAAAGGTTGTCTTTTCATTCATTGCTTATTGTTGTTACAGTTATGCCTGATTACTTCGAATAATTATTTTCCGCAAACATTATGTACTAATTTGATTCTAATTGGCTAACAAAAAGTCACTGATTCAACTACTCTAAAAGCCTTTGAAAATCTCTGATATATCAATATGGGTTACAAGATATAGGTGTCAATCAATTCACTTGAATCATTTCAGAAAATGCCTATATTTTATTGAATAGTTTTGTCATTCACATGCTACTAGAAGTAACATTTTAATGGGATAACAGAAAAATCATTCTAATTGAACTGATACTCTATCGATTCCTTATCGTTCGCAGAAATAGTTCTGCTAAATCAAACTTCCAAACAAATGCGATCAACTTAACACTTTGTGTAACAATGGGAATTTTACATACATTCTTACCAGTATATGTGTTCCTCGTTTTCTGTAGTGATACTGCACCTCATGTGGATGGAAGTAATTAAATATGTTTATATTTACACACTATACATAATATATTTCTCATAATCAGATTGTTAAGCTCGTAAAGAAATATTTAAAAATCATATATTAACAAATTTATCTCAGTTATTCATCTCGAAATGAAAGAAAACATTTTCACAAGTTTTTTCTATAGACTCTACGTTTTTCAGAAGAAGTAAAAATAGATATTTTACTTATTTCATGAGCTGAAATTCTTAGGAGATATTGAGACTAGCGTAAATATTGATCATTATTACGTAGACTTGATATAACTTCAATCAACATACTTGCATCCATTCTCTAGTTTTGTCTTGAATCCTAATTAATTTGTATTTTTCATTTCTTGTTTTTTAATTACAGTTCGGTAATTTTGTTTGACATTTTAAAAACCTCTAGCATAATTGTCCGCATTTTTCTCTTAAAATTCCTTTATTGTCTTCTTTTGATCAAGTTTTTAAACTTGTATTTGTGCCCAACTCAATACATGTAGATAAGTACATCATTACAATATAATTTACCATGTCTAAATACTAAAATATTTCAGTGTAATCTTTATAACTTATTATTACATTATGATCAATGAATTAACTTTTCTCCAACCGCTTGGTTAATTATATTTACAGTTTTACAAAATTAAGACGACGTAAACCAGTGGGACTAACACACTCTTCAGGTAGGTAGTTTGTTTACTGCTCTAATATACTATAGTGATCATAATTGTATTTATTTATATTTTTAGAATTTTTCTTATATTGGTCAGTATTTTATTCTGACAGCGATTCAATAATCTAAGTAATACCACTTCGAAACTTCAACTAAATTACTGTTTAGAACTTTGGAAAATATTGCATTTACAGTTTGCCATTATTTGCAAGAAGTAAACTTCCCCAATTCTGTTGACATTATATAAGAAGTATATATATAAGGAGTATATAATTAGTTCACATAAGGGTTTTTAAGAATTTCCTAATTAACCAGTCTCCCAATTAAAACAGATGGAAAAATTTTAACTTTAAATCAATGAGAATGGTTCTAGTTAAAAAATACATTTACTCTCAGTGAATATGAATGAAAACATTACAATAATCATCTAATGAGGATTTGAAAATTATGCGTAAAATTTTAACTCAAATTACATTCATAATTTAATAAGAATTTAAGTCAAATAACTAAACTTGAAAATAAAGCCTTTGAATAATTTATTTTAATGATGAGAAATGGGAATTCAAAAGTAACCTGTAAATGAGAAACAAGTTAAGCAAAAGTACTTTATTTGTTCGTTTGTTTTGAATTTCAATATGTAACGTTTGAATTAATACTACTGATTAACTGCTAATGGTAATACATTCATTAAATATATATTTTTTGTAATCAACTGTAAGCCACATTTCGTGAGGGTTAATAATATTGCCTAAATGATCACATAGACATATGAGGCAAAGTTTAAATATGCAATCTACAGATTATTTACTAAACCATTGTTTTATTGTTCTATTTATAAACTGATTATAGACTAAAAGCTGGGTTTAAACTTCTTGACAAAAAATCAAAATTGGCAAACACAAATAACTGATTGACATTGAAAAAAGATATAGGTTTTAACTTACTATTTAATGATTGGTATTTTTAAAAGTAGTTATGTTTTTTATCTTAGTAAATTGATGATGTTCTATGCATTTTAAAAAAGTTAACACTATACTTCGGTAGAAAATGCTTATTTCTTGAGAACTTGTCAGCATCGGCATTAGTATAATTTTTAAATTTTAAAGCTATCTGGACAAAATAAGCTAATTGTTGGAGTCATTAGGAAGAAAATCGTGTATTAAATTATGTTTTCTTTTATTTGATATTTGTTAAGAATGAATGTCTACAAGTGTAGCATGACCAATAGAGAGAGACCTTAGCACAGAGTTATTCACGGTATGGTTAACCTCCTCCAAGACTGACACCAATTCATTCCTCAGCAGTAACCGATATCAAATCACTTGGAGTACATATACATTAAGACTGGATTCCAAGAATTTGATTTCACCAAAGATTTCACAATTGAATACATATTAGTCAGTAAGAAGTAAGTATTACGACTGCAACAAACATTAACTAAAAAAAATCTAAGATAATAAATTTCAGTCATCATAAATTTCAACAGAGTACTGTCCATTAAAAATTCAGTAAATCACAATTAAACCATCAGTTTTTAGAATGATGATGTTATAAACTATATGAGACAGTTGACTTCATCATAAAACCATTTTGTTGCTTTTTATAACATAATTTTGTATTATATTATTAGATAGTTGTATATTATTTATACATTGTGTTTTACTTAACACTTTAGATAGGTTCCGGCCGTCAAATAAATTCTATCAACCTAACTGTAAATCATCTGAAGCAGTTCTAAGGTAATTAGTTTTAAATGTCAATATTTATTAACCAAAAGCATATAATTCCCCCCTCTTTTCATTCACATGCCATAAACTGGTTTAATTTGATGAATAACAGGAGTATTACAAATATTTCAGTATCTGTTTAAGAAATAACTGAAAATGTTATCTTATATAAAGTACACTATTATTTCATATGTAAACCTTAAGAGTTAATTTTCACAAACGGATATTTATTTAAGCAATCATAGAGTACTAAACATTTGATTTTCTTCTAGACTCTTTCAAAATCAACACTCTTAACTAATTCTTTAAGAAAATCTAAATTACCGCTTCATATAGTTACTTTCTTCCAAGTAAACTGACTACAAAGTATACTACATTTAGTATTGTATATATTTATTCAATGCTTTCTGAATTGTTAAAACAGATATATTGATAATCTTATTGCATAAATCTTAAACATATAATAATCTCATTTATTAAATATAAATAATCTATAATTATGTTAATCGATTATTGAGCATCAAATGTAATCAGAAATGTATTATTCAATCTTATCTCAAATTAATAATTAGAAGTACAAGTGTTTTAGTTATGTTTTATGTTATCTCATACAATTAAATAAACTATGAACTAGTTGATATTATTTAATCAAAATAGAATAAAACTTATCTAAATAGTTTAATAACAAACTACCTTAAGATAATAAAATAATATATTAATAGTTCAGAAAATTACTATTGAACTTAATAGATAGATCAATAAATAAAATAAAAATAACTATGTGCATTTGGAATAAGTTCATTTATGAAATATTTTCTTAAATACAATTAAACAGTTTGTAAATTATTTACATAATGTACAGGTTTATATCTGTGTTTTTCTTCAGTGAATAACTAATTGTTAAAGTTTATATCATGGACTAATCTTTGTTAAACAGAAAGCATTGAACACCTGTTTCATCTTATTGTGAAACTTCTAAGCAATACACATCTACGATTCTACCACAAAAGTAGAGTCTATGATGTTTGGTCTCGCTCGAACTCGCTTAAGCTCTAGACCCTGTGAGACGACATCTAGTGATGTTCATGTCTAATTTCAATCAGTTCTCGACATTAAGCAACCATTTTTCATTACTTGTAGTCGACAACCATCGCACACACAACATAGCTCAGCTACATTGGAAGGAAAATTTAACTCTGTCAATAGGACATTTTACATGAAGCAACACTAATCAGTGTAGCTTCATTTTCAGAGCCATGTAATTTAATCACTAGAATTTAGGCCGAAAAACACAAGTGGATTTGTTTTTTTTTTATGATAAACAACAAATAACAAGTTAATCAAACATACGTAATCATAATCTTAAATATGGCATACTTTAATTTCAGATCTTTGTCAAATATATCAAATCAGTCAACTTCTCCAGTGATTATATCTGGTTCGGGTAAGTTATTCACTATGAACACTGAAGCAAGATACTAATAAACTTGGATAAACTACATCCATTTATTTGTTCCTAGCAAAAGTTTAAAAGTGTTTTGTTGTATTTGTAAATAAAATAATATATTAATAAACTGAAAAGTAACTTTTGCTCACGAGCTCCAACCGTATAAACAAACACTGAAAACAGGAATCACAAAATTGTCGACCATTGTCTCGATTCAATTTTATTCGTCAACTTCCATCCATAATCCCCTTTTTGATATAACCATGGAACCTTATAGTTAATAATGATAAGTTCCATTAAGTTCAGTATTAATGGTCAACACTTATCTTTATTTTGTTTTATAAAGTTATAGGCAAACATCTCAGTCTGTCATCATTAATATAATCATTTCTTCAGAATATCAATGTGAAATAATTTAACTTGTTAACTTTTGAATAAAAAACAATATTACGAGATATTGATATTTTAGTAGTAAACCAAAAACATTTTATAAATTCATGCTGTGATATTTATGTGTTAATAGTCATTGAAACTTATATAAAACTAGATTATGTCTGTATACAATTATAATAAAAATGTGCCAACATTGTTTATAAGTACCAGCATTCGCATAATGTCACTATAATTGTAATTCATCTCTTTGTTTAGTCACAAAATTCATAAAGAATCTACTTATTAAAAACCATTTATAACTACCTGTTATAAATCCAAGATTTTGCATTAAACTTGGCTATCCATTTGAAACATTAATTTGAATTTAGAACATGATCAAAATTTTTTGGAAAGAAAATTCTTCATTCAGTTTGTGATTTTATTTGGATAAAGAATACCATACAAACCAAGTCAGAGTCAGTAATCATGAGAATAAATGAGTTGACTTACGAAAGAGAACGTTTTGAGCAGGCATATAAAATTTACTGTTTCAATTAGATTTATTAGTATAACGGTTTTTTTACACTTAGTTTTCATTCAGTAAAAGTAATAGGATAATATTACTACGATAAATACGGACTTGTAAATTCATTTCTTAACTATTTTATTGTCTTATCAAGTTTTAGTAAAAGCACATAATTTGCATAATGCACCACACATTAGTTTCAATTCACATTGAATTGTGTTGTTCCACAACTTTTAGTTGTTAATTATTCGAAAAGTTAACATGTTAGTTTAAAATGTCTCTTACAATATTCATGAGAATATTAACTAATACCCAAAATGCAAGTTTGAGAACATAGCAATTTCAACACAACATATCTGTTGGTTAAATAAGAAAGGACTATATTAATTCATATTACGCTTTAAGTAAGCTAAAATATTATATATCTCTAGTTTTCCTAATAATATTTTAGGACGAAACGAGGAAATGTTATTTTATAGCTTCTCATCAGCTGCAAACAGTCTATAACTACAACAGATAATAAAAATAAGAGGAGAGGCTTGATATACTCATTAGTTGATAAATTTAAGGCGAAAGCTTGAAGAAAAACAGCATACAAGAAGAATATAACAAAAGTCAATCGTTCACACTAATGAGATTAACACATACTTACAGAGTTAGGCAAGTGAATTCATAAGTATTAATAATAGGGAACTTCAACTCCATCGCAAGTTGATATTCATTTAAAATCATTAAGTCATATTAGAAACCATGGAAAATAGATCATGTTTGTGGTTCATCAATAATTCATAGTTTTTCATTATAAAAGCTGCAGATCATGAGCTAATCCATACATAGTGGTAGTTAACTCGAAACAGTTCAACATTACAGAGCTTTATTTGGTGTTATAAATCTTTAACTAATATTAGTCACTGCTGAGTTGGATGCCACCTATCTTGAGTATGTCCACCCATCACCTACTCCAGGTTATCATATTCACTGGAATGCCAAGCAGCTTACAAAGTGATCAAATAAAGGATCAATTAATTCAGCTGTCGATCAATAAATTGAACTATGTTTGGAGTTCCGTACTTTTTGGTTCTGATTCAAAAGGCGATCTTGAGTAATTGCTAGTGACCTTGGGTAATATATTCCAAAATCAGTTAGTTTCTAATTTTCTTCCTTATCATTATTTTTATTATTCATACTCCTCCATCCTGTTAATTTACTATCAGGCTTAATGCCTATGTTTATTTTTCTACTATCATTGATATTTTTTCGATCCCTTTACATTTCTCCTTGTTGATTTCTTCTCTAAATGTATTGATGAAAGTTGTAAAAACTTGGTCTGATACAAGATATTATCAAATCCTGTATGTTTTTGAATTGTTTATTAAGTCACTGATGAATACTATCAATTGAATTTTTACATATTACCTTATTGAATAATTACTCTGTTTTTTTAAATCAAAATAGTAAGATTCTCTATAGTGGGTTAAGAAGATATTTTCTTCTTTGATATGTGTATCACAGAAGTTTCCAACATAAATAGTCATGCAAATGCTCATTCTGAATAATCAAGTTCTAGGCTACAAATACACCTAATTTATAAGCTCAAATAAATTATAATCTATTACAATTTAAAGTATATTAAGTTAAAGAAATATATATTTGACTAATTTTCTTTATCGGTATTTTTCTTCTGTATTTAATTTGTTAAGTTTTAAAAATATGTCTTACATTAACTTTCCTACTCTATTTTTTCATCTTAAGGCTCATGGGGAAGTAAAAGTAATCGTTTACTCAATGTAATTCACAACAGTAATTCAATTTTGTCAGAAAGTGAAAAATCCGACAATGATGCCTCTTCTGTATTTTCAAATGAATCCTTCCATCAGTTTAACTTAAAAAGTAAATCATTATTTATAAAAAAAATATTATATTATAAGACCAAATTATAGATCAAGCAGAGAATAGAAATACTGATGAAGAGAAACATTCCACAGAATCAGTAAATCATATTTCAATTTTACCTGTCAAAGTAGAAAAACTGAAAATACCTGGTGTATATATAACAAAGGATGAAAAACGTAAAACTCCTGTAAACAGTGCTAGTTCTGGGAATTCAGAAGATCCATTCAATTTTATTAAACAGGTATTGTTGGAACAAATTCTGTTTGCTGTGCTTTTTCTATATTTCCTACACGATGTCGTTTAAAATACTCAGACAGCTTAACAAAACTGAACACTGAAAGTTTCTAAACAAGTAATCCAATAACATTTAGCAGTGAGTTTAGATTCTAATTTTAATTCAAGAATATCTGAGAAAAGCTATTCGATTAAGAAATTCGCATGACTTCATTTAAAATGGTCAGGATATGTTAAGCCCATACATTTACTACCCACCGTTAAGTCCTCTGGTCCAAGTTGTATAAAAGTACATTACTTTTCACAATTATAAACGACAGTCATAACTTTAATAAAACATTTATTAATACCAGTTCAACTGATGCGAACGCATCATTACTTCATCTTCCGAATAAACATTTAATAACTGTGTCTCCTTTTTTATATCTATGATCTTATATTACAATTTACATGTTGTTTGGCAAATGATACGTGACCCTTGTATTTTTGCTTTTGAGTTATTGTAGCTTTAAAGCACTAACTGTGGGTATTTCATACCTTTTTGTTATTCTTTTTTTCTACAAAATCTGCAATTGCTTACTTTAATATTTCTCCATTAGTTTGTTTACTAATAATAATTTTGTTATGAATTAGAAGTTTAAACAAATGCTAATCTTCAAAACTATCAAGTAATTTTATTACTGTTATTTAATCTTGCCGAAATGCTACGGTATTTCGAAGAAAGCTAAGATATTGTACTATGGTGAGACCTCAAGGTTTTAAAGCTGTATATATATAAGCATTTAAATTGCTTTATCGACAGCCAGACTTGTGTAAAAACCTGCTATTAGTGTACTCATTGCTTATATCTTGGAATGTTAAAAGAATGTTAGCTATCTATTTATCATGGCAACTTATGATAAATGAGACTGATGAAGTTAATCACTTCCCGATAAAATTATACGCTGTAAAATCAGATTTCACGGGTATCTGACAAAATAATAACACTTTATGAAGACTGCACAACACTGAATAACACACCCAATCTCAAATGATCCATACTCTGAAACGTTTTTTTTATTTTAAGGACTCTGAAGCAAAACGACGTTTGTCAAATGCATTAATCTCCGAGAAACAGTCAATTGTTGATGCATGGATAGACATAGTTTGTCGGTGTACACAATCAAATGTTTCAAACAAAATCAAAGATGAACTTATATCGGATTTAGGTAAACGAGTAAACAACTCTGAAACTAATCGAGAATCGAACAATGGAGTTGAGAAAAAACTATTAGAGGTAAGTAGTTACGTGATAAACTCATTGCTTCCTAATATTCTATTTTACAGCCTTAGCTAAATACTTACTGATTGGTTGTTCTTATTTTTTAAAATAATAAGTCTGAAATAGTAGTTTTGCAACTCAAATAGATGAGTTTCAACCGTTGACTCACTTGTTCAAAGTGCGATTCACCTAATTCTGGATGACACTCTAATCGAATGCAATCTGTTTGAGAATAGATGGTTAAATTTTATATATTTGACCGAAAACATAAACTTAACAATTAAGATGTGATACAGTTAGCGTTTTCTTATACGAATGGAACATGAACAACGATTGAAGTGGAATAGTATGAATTCAATATATTCCATGGAGCCTTATTACCTGTTAGCAAATACAATTGGATCATCAGAGTACAACTATTTATATATATAATATCCTAGTCATTTTTTTAGAAAAGGGCTATTATGGTTACAATTATGCAACATCGTTTCATTTTTCAATCTTATTAGGTATATTTTGTTAATTCAGCTAGGGACTTAATCAGCTGACGCAAAAACTACGGAAACTAAAAGATCTATATTATTCTACTTGATTTGTCTTATTTAGATAAGATTCTGGGTCTAGTAGTTGTTGTGAAATAAGAAAAACATAGTTTAATAACGACCAGTGTTACAAATTTTTGCAAGTTTCAGGCAACAGTTCATGATGCGATATATATTTGTAATTCAGAATACTTGTTACCTTAAATTAAGTAAATTTCATAACCATCATATAACAGGCTAAAAAAATACAACCTTGAATTGACAAGAGTTTTTTATCAGTCTGGCAACAAAGTGAGTGGCAGATAGACTTTAATTTCTATATTTATGCTAATGCCAATCGAAAACAGACATATAGTGAATCACAGAAAATCAACTACACAACACATTTTGTAAAGAATAATCGAACACATAATTTGAAGATCAAGAGTATTTTCCGATAAATAAATCCAGAAATATGAAATTATGTCAAAAAAAGATAAAAAGAATTGAAATAGTAAACCAGTGACGAGATGTAACTACAATTAAACTTTACCTTTAAAATGATATGTTTGTTAATAACAGTAACAAAGAATACAAAACATAGTGTTATTCAAACGATACAAAAACTGTACATTATTTAAATTGATAAATTAATTATGTATCTTATAAGAACTAAAATTAAAATCAATGGTCATGAAAATAGTAACATGAAACCAATGATGAATTGTTTTGAAGTGTGAGATTAACAAATTTCAAAACAATATATATAGGCAAATAAAATGTATTGCACTTTCATTTGCTTCAGAAAACTTTAGACTAAATTAGATATCTCGTTTATTTTATTCTTCATCGATAATTACAAATATGTTTTCAGTTTATATATCTATATTATCACTTTACGTTAAGCAGAGACGAAAAACCTGTTCGAATTTCATGCAGAAATTCAGAATCATTGTGTAAGGTTTAAGCAAAGTAAAAACGATTTACTCTTTAGATCACTAACTCTCACTTGGTAGCTGATTGAAAACAGAAACTCTGATTGCCCTGAACTAGATATACATAATATGGTTCGTCGTGAATAACTTCAACACAACTCCCGATTAAAATATATTTGAAAGAGAACCATGTTACAGAGATGATTTTGAACGATTTCTCTATTTCAAGAACATGTGGACCGAAAATAATTTACTAACACACGCTCTTAGTACAACTAATAATAATAATGTGAACACAATTAGAAACCTAATCACTCTGGAATTCTGTTCACATTATTATTACCCCATTTTCAATCTAGTTGACATTTTATTTTTATATATAAATGCTCTTAACAAGTATACGTGTGATCAGATTGTTCGAAATGTATTGCGCTAATATATCACATAATTCTGATAATCTTCGTCTTATTACATTATCTTAGTTTATCAAGGGGACTAATTGCTTTAAAAATACTGTCCTTGCTTTTCCTTGCCTTGCCAATCCTCGCCTTCACGTCTGCATCCGATCCTCCTTGTTCATCGATGATGCTGTCCAGTAGGTGAACGTTTCGACCTCTTCCGGGGTCTCTCCATCATGTGATTAGGTCGGTGCTCCCCATGTTGTATTTGAGGGTCTCGGTTTTCCCCTTGTGTATGCTGAGGCCCACTGATGCAGAGGCTGCTGCTACACTGGTTGTCTTGACCTGCATTTGTTGGTGTGTATGGGATAGAATGATCAGGTGATCTGTGAAGTTCAAGTCGTCTAGTTGCATATAACATGTCCATTGCATTCAGTGCTTTCCTCAGATGTCGAGGTCTTCATAATCCAGCCAATCACCAGAAGAAAGAGGAAGGGAGAGAGAGAAAGCAACTTTGTCTGATACCGGTCCTCACCTGAAATAAGTCTGTCAGCTGTCCTTCACATATCACTTTGCAGTGTAGTCCTTCGTATGAATTCCGGATGATTTTGGCGATCTTCTCAGCTACTAACACCATAGTGTCGAAGAAGGCTCCATGAAAATCTCCTATTCAGGCAACCAAATGTTTTCTCATAGACAAGCAAGTTGATGTACAGGCACGAATTCAATTCAACTGATTGTTCAACGATGATCCGTAATGTCGCCATTTAGTCTGTGCACGAACGATCCTCACTGAGTCTGGTCTGTTGATCTCGAAGTTGGGCGTCAACTAAATCGTTCATCCAGTTCAGAAGCATTCCATTGAAAATTTTCCTGATACCGATAGTACTATGTTGCCTCTGTAGTTTCCACATTTATTCAGATCTCCTTTCTCTGGTATCTTGATGAGATATCCTTCTTTCCAGTCTGTCGGTGATATTTGTTCTTCCTCCCAAATCTCGGATAGAACGTTTGCAATTATTTCTATGTCTGACTTAAGTGCTTCAGATCGTATATTGTCAGGTCCTCCTGCCATCCACTCTTGACTTGTCCGATGGCCAGCCTGATTTCTTCGATTGTTGGTGGTTTGACATCTAAAGAAAGGTCTTTGTGTGCTGATTCGATATGCGAAAGATCCGGTCTATTCAGGAGTTTCTTGAATTATTTTCCCCATCCGTTCATCCGTTCTTGAATCTCAGTGATCGGGTTACCTTCTTTGTCCTTGACCAGTCTTTCTCGTTTACTATATTTCCCCTCTAGTTTCTTCGTCGCTTCATATAGCTGTCTCATGTTCGTTGTTATGGCCTTTTCCGCTGTCGTTGCCATATCTTCCACATATTTTTATTTATCATCTCTAATGCTGTTTTTACTTGTTTGTTTGCTTTTGTGTATTCAGCTTGTGCCTTAATCTTCTCTATTCTTGTTCTAATGTTGTTAATTGCTTTCTTTTTCTTCGTTTCCTGAATCTTGTGCAAGATTTCCATAAAGATCCATTCCTCATGATGAACATTCTTGAGTCCTAGAGCCTCTTGAAACGTTGAAGTTCGTGCTCCTTTGATCCCTTTCCAGTTGTCTTCCATAATAGTTTATTCTTCTTTCAGTAGATCTTGTAAGGCTTGGAACCTGTTGTCGAGAGTTATCTTGAATCTGTGAACTTCGTCAGTATGTCGAAGGAATGCTGTATTGAACCTTTATATAATGATGTTTGTCCAGTTGCCTAGTGCTACTCTAGCTTCAGTTTCGTCTTGGCATGAGTCCATGATATTCTCATCCTATAGGTGCATTTCTTTGGATAGCATCAGAGCAACTTCCTGAGTGTGTGGATTATTTTCTTCTTTGTAACCAGAGTACAACAGCATCTCTCCCGAATATATATCTTTCTGTCCAGCTTAGGTCCAATGAGTCTCACTGATTTCTAGGACAACTAAATTGTATCTCCTCATTTCCACAGCTATTTGGTTGGTATTATCGGTCTTCGGACATTCCATGTACCTATAATAATATGTTTGCCCTGGTTGTTAGAAAAGGCATCGGCCTCGTGACTTCCGAAGAATCTCAGCTTTCATAATGAGGCGCCATAATTTTTCTGAATGATGACAGTGTTTAAATGGTTTGATTTGTTTATTCTGGTTAGCTTTCTTTAGCAAGCTTGGGGATGCTAACCCCCCACCCAACCCTCCTTTGTGTGGGCTTGGAACCGGCAGTAACCCTAGAAGAACCACAGGCGGATTTGTGTAATGTTGTTACATGTGGAAGTTCAACTTCAGAGATATGGTTTCAATATCATTCCATCTTTTGTTAAACAGTTTTCGACAATTATATGTAAATTTTAGGCCAATTAATTACAGGAGTCAAAATAAAGCCAGTAGTTTATTCATAGATAGTTACTTTTAACTTTAAATGCTTTTAATAATTCAATAAACTGTATCCGAAACTCAGATAATGTAATGAGAAAACGAAGATTATTAGAACTAGATGATATATATTAGGTACAATACATTCGAAACCAACCAACTTTCCTGAAGAAAAAACAGACAACTAGACTTTTTTGATAAAAAGTAATAAACAGACATATTTTATTTCTATACATGATGTGGTACTTCAGACCTATTACAACAGTATGAGGACAAGGTGAACATATTTACCTTTAAGCAATGTTTTATCAATGAATTGTAACACTTGTTTCAGCAATGATTTCTTTCCAGTTCTAATTTTCCTTGTTAATAAACAAAATTAACGAACATAATACCCCTTTCATAGAGGAACACTTAATGTTTATTGGATATCCATTCATCCAAATTAGTTATTGCATAGGCATTAAAACAGTAGATTCCGAAAAATCACAACTCTGAAATACTTATCATTAACTTGTATTTCTAGCTTACGGTGTATAGTAATAAGGGTTTTGAATGATGTTTTGATCAAACGTTGCCATAATTTGGACCACACCTGAAGATCTGGAAGTATTATACACCTGTCTCGTCCTATCACGGGACCACTCGATTGATTCGCAGTCAAGATACACTAACCGATTGTCAACCAAATTATCGAAACAGAATTATTAATCAAAGTCTTTAATCGATGATGACGTAATTTATCGCATGGCATGAATTGAATCGATTATAGTTATATGTCTAGAAACAGGTCATTTCTTCCAACGTAACGACCCCATGTGGGATAGAATCTAAAGCCCTCAGATGCCATGATGAACACCTAACTTCTGAACCACTTAGACTAATTTCAACAGGAAATTCGCAAAATTATAATGAAGAGTTGTGACCAGTAGAGTTTGAATATTTCAGGTGTGAGGAGGTGGTCACACACCGAAAATAATCGAAGATAGTTAGGTAGTATCAAAAATTGATTTATTTAGATGTGTAAAATGTTGGATACCGACTCAGTAGTCTAGAGGTTAAGCTATCACCTCGAGACTTCAAGATCATGTGTTCGATCCACTGTAATGATGTAGTAAGTAATCAACTATAAGAAGGTTCACACTTGGATAAAACAGCTATCCACTGTTTCCTGGTTTTCAGTGTAAATTTAACTTAGATTGATTCATGATCTCATTGACGTATAAACTATTTATTTGTCTTACGTTTAATTTGTAGTAGAAAAAATAATGTGACAATACTATGGTAACATTTAATTGACACTGAGTTTGATGTTCACTTCACTTCAAAACAGTTTACCATTTTCTCTTGTTCTATATCCGTTTTTTGGCATTCGATTATAAAATCAATTTGCGCAAATTATATCAAGCATGTAATCGATTGAATAGTAATATTATATATTGACGGAAAAGTAGTCACTGTGTAAAAAAAAATGAATATTGTATAGAAAGACTACTTAACATATGATTTAGTTGTTACTGTTTACTCTATTTTCTGTTCTATGATCACTCTATAAATATTTGTGAAAAAAAATACACATACAAAGACTGTTGTACACAAATAATATGTGAAAAATAAAAACAGTTTTGATTAATATTTGGATAAATTCGCTCATTTGACTGGTAACTTTTTTGGTCGAATTATCATTGAGTAACCACAAAATAAAATAACCAAGAGAAGTTATCTCTAACCTCACTATTGAGATTTATCAACAAAATTACTAAGTGATTTATTCCTTCAGAAAGTAGGTCATTAGCCAAATTCGATAAATACAAGAATCAGAATGTAATACCTTTTATCAGTGACCAAAATATTAAACGTCTAACTTTTAAGATTACCTTAAACCCTTTATCTAAACAAGGTTCAACAATCAGACTCATTACTGAATTTAATCATAAACATTGATAATTCATTGGTTTGTTCAGCAGTTATCAATAATAATTCAATTTTATTGGAAACACTATGAATCATGGTCAGTTATTTAAATGGTTAGACAAAGTGATATTTTGGCAATCATGTTACAGAAATTGTAAGAGTATTTGACGGGAAGATTATGAGTTATACGGATCCAATAATGAACTCAATTCACTGTAGGCAGCTCGTCAATAAAATTAATTCATCTTCAAATAAAGTGTCATACATTGGCTTCTTTTTAGTGAACTAATTACGTGCTAACTCATTAGTATACGGGGTTTAGTTGCTACCTTAACCCTAACGTTTCTAAGTAACACCGAATGGTATGGGTTGAAACACTAAATATGAGTGTTTTTGAAGGCTTTTTCAATATTTCCCGATTGTACAGTAACTTTAGTTTCAGGATCAGTCCCGATATTTCTCAACAATATATTTAAGTATCAAAATGAGCAGATAAAATAATCTTAGTCAAGGTCTAAACTGACTTTTGTAATAATCTGTTCATGAATATTACCCTGACTTAAAACAATTTATAGTTTAACCAGTGTTCATATTTTTAGTGTCTTTTAGATATGATAACTGATAGTTTACACGGTGGAATTTGTTGGTCTCAACTTGTTAACTACCTTAAAATTCCAGCAAATAAATGTACAACCGAAGGATTGACTGACTCCATCAACGGCATATCGGGCGATACGAATAAATTCGCAGTGTTGTCAAGTTTGAAACGTTATTCAGTGGCTGGCGAAGATTTAGGAGGACGATTTTTAAAATTGCTACATTCTTCAAAGATATCTGAACAGAATAATGCATGTCTTCCAGTGGGAACGCCACTAGTTTGCAATTATTTGCGATTAGCTTTGGCAGCACTTCCAAGTGTTATTGCTGCACCTTTGCTCCGTCAAGTGAATCGTCCACATGAAGTATTAGCATGGGAAAAATTGATCAAAGATGCTATCACTTCAGCAACCAATCAAATTAGCAGTAAGTATGTTTGAAGTATGTTGTACTAAGACAAATTTCTTTCATCAGCCGAGAGATCCCCTAAGCTGTACAATACTGTGAACAATACTGCCTGAATTCGGAAAAGTTATTAGTATGGAGTTTCCGTTCCCTTGTGACTAGGATTCGTATAAATACAAAACTGTTCAACACTATCTAGTCCCCTCTGTTTCCACAGATGACTTATCAATAAAAACGACTTTGAAACTACGATATCCTTAAATACCCTAACGCAAAAATAATTTTCTTCCAAGTATTTTTATGAAAAGAATATTTCATATATGTACCCCAATTATAATACTTATGGATGGTTTAATCCTATCATATTGGAATGTGTCCACTAATCTAAGTGACTTTATGTTAGAAATGTACATAATCTTGAACTTGATCGTTAAAAACTCGATAAAGCAAAGAGTGTTTACTATTGCAAGTAGATAACTATGACAATAGCAGATTCCAAACAAGAACCCATGTTACTGAGCACAGTTAGGTTCTTATCTAGTCACTGTAACTAAATATTTTATCCATAAATTACATATGGGCATATGACTCGATGCCAATGTACAAAGAGGAGCGTTAAATAAAGTAGTATTTTAAACCCAAAACACGATTACAAAGACCATGCTCAGTAAAGTGATTTTCATAAATTCATTCTTTGTCTAACTTACTAAAACCCACCACAGATTAATTAGTGATTTATCATATGGAACAAACTCACCAATATCATAAAGAAAAAAACCATAACTATCGAAATTGTGGGATTTCTTCCCCAAAAGTTTCATAAAATCTAGACCCAAAGCTTTCGATTTATTGATTTCAAACAATGTATACTGAGATATCATATAATTTATCTTGTTAACCAGATAAAATACTATGACAACCCTATGATTTTCATCAAGTAACACTGGTTTCAGAAGCTTTATAGGGGTTATACATGCATAACATACAGAAATGGATTCATTTTGGTGATTAAATCGAAACGGACAAAATGAAGAATTTGTTAAACTTTCTTGGTATTTAATGGTTTGCGAATTCTGAATGTCAATTTTATGTAAAAAGAATTTCTTTAATAAATAACTTCGCCACAATTGATGAATATTTTCCATTTTCCTAAAGATTTAGCCCCAATAAGTACAGTTCACTTACGTCGTCATCAAACATACTCAGCACAGCACAATCGTAGACTAGTTAAACAAGTCACCACGGAAGCTGATCTTGACTCGCCAACATATATTCGTCAGTCGACTCCTTCGAATAGACCATTTACCATGGTCTCTATGTCACCCAGCCTCTATTATACACCAAATGATTCGACTGTGGATGAAACAAAGAAGGTTACAAACAGTTTATCTTTATCACAGAAATCATTAACCTTTTCAAACGAAGCAATTCCTGAAGAACCAATGGAAATTATCCAGTGCGCACGGAAATTCGCAGGTGTTCAATCAAGTGCTCCTTTGTGTCATGTTAAATCAAGGACTAGCAAAACATTAGATGAATTGGTAAATCACGAGAATTCTGCTAATGGTCTAGTAGACAAGTGAGACAGATTTTATTATATTCTCTGCTGAATTTGTTTAGAAATAATACTATTAAATTACTAAACTTAATGTAAGTGAACAGTAACACTAAACTACAAATTTAACTAATGTTTATGACAATTATATTAAAAAATAGTAAACAACAGTAAGAAAGGTGTGCTGAAGATAAATCTAGAACTAGTTAAGTTCCGAAACTGGAATATAAGGAAAAACAAAACAATAGAAATGATCTAATTCATAAACTGCCATACTTCTGATATCAAAAGTATAAACGGTAAATTTACCAAAGAGGATGACAAAAGAATTGGAATATTTGATTGCTAAATAAGCCAAACATTTCATACGACTGAGCGGAAAATAAATGGCACATGATATTTGTCACTAATATTAACCGAATTTATCAGCTCAACGTAATTCTGTGTTAAATGTTTAAAGTAATGTCTACTTTCATAAGATGAACGATCAAATAATTATTTAAAACACTCAGGGTATTATCAAATTGTCAGCATGGCAAAGTGGAGACGATTGAGTAACATTAAAATCACAAATTGTATAAGACAGAGAACTATTCGAAACCTGGAAGCACTGAATGACCGCTTCGTTAAGTATGGGACTCCTTAAAAGTGAGAAACAGCGACCTTGAAGCTAGGAGTTGAACCCAGTACCTTCGGTCTAGTAAGAATGACTAACCTCTAGATCACTGAGTCGGGACCCAACGGTGTACAAATCAAACTTCAATCAATCCGCGGTATTGAGCGACTCTTTCCAAATGACTTCGATGGGCACATTCGTCACATCTGACACGGCTGAACTCCACCGGTCACAGCTTTTCACGAGGAAATTTACGGATTTTTTTGTCAGAAGTCATGACCAGTGAAGTTCAATTGTGATTTCAGTGAAATATCAATAAATTTTGATTTCACAATTTTTTCTTCATTTTTGAAGTATAATATTATCAGACGTTTTGTCACTGTACAAATACACAAAAGCAGATTCTCTACTATATGCTTATGAGTATTTATTTTGCTTTTTTTTACAAATAATCAGGACGTTCTGTCTCATATATATAATCCAAAAACATTGGCATCTATACAGTTACCACTATAGATCAACTTACCGATCGATGAATAATCTACACCAATAGACTCTTCCTTCAATCTACGATGTTTAAAACCAGCATGTTTTGAACCTAATATATAACTTTAAATAAGTAAATCTATGATAATACACATAAAATCACAGTAGAACGTAATAGTAGAGTCAAGCAGGAAGTTATTTTTATGATCTTTAACATAAAATCCAATTGGAAATATCAATATATACAAACCGTCTTTAGGGAAATTGTCACTGAACCATAATTGTGTGGTTTAACTCCAAATAAAAACAACCATCTAAACATTCGACTTGTGTTCCAAATTGAAAGAAACCCTAATAATACATTTTAACTACTAGCAGCAATTGTAGTACCGGTGTATAAAAAAGACTTCTAGTGTTGGGGAAATAGCCAACAGGATGTCAAACGCTCATAGAACATAATGATCGGAAACCATGAGATAAAATAATAATTTCTAATATAAATATTCAACTAATAGTCTGTATGAATATCAGTTTTTTATAAATTTTACTGAATACTGACTTAAATTTCTTGTTCCTATAGAACCAACCTCATATAACTTTGACTTGTACACTTTTCGTATAAATATGCATAAACATTATTTTTTATTTTCAGTTCAATGTACAATATCCTCGGACATAAATGCAAGTTTCGAATAATAGTATTTATTATTATATTTGTGCTTTTATGTAGATTTTAGCCTAACACTAACTCCTGAAAAATACTATAAATGTCATCATCAAGCTTCAATAAATATGGTTTATTGAAAATTTCTTGGTAGATACTTATAAGTAGACTTCGTTTACAATAAGTTTTAAACTATTTTGGTACACAAATTTTACATCAACTTATCAATACTTCTTAACAGTATATGCGTATTTACAAACGTAATAATCATAGAAATTGAAGAGTGTATTTTGACCCAGTGAACACAGATGGTTTCTGTTGAATGCAGTCGACGCATAACTAGACCCCACTTTTATTAATTCTTAATCTAATTTCAACCAAATTTATCATCAAATTATTCCTTATGATGCTTCAAACCAAGATGAATAACTCAACATTATAATCAGACATCGTTATACATAATTATTAAACTAGTGCTCAGTGGCAGAGTTAGAAATATGAGTATATTTTGCAACAGAAAATCTTTTCACTGAGATACAAAAGTTTCGAATTTCTTGATCCACGCAACTGACTACTCTCATTCAATAATGAAAAATACACTTTCTGTAATCGATATAATTCCATGAGGTTATTCTGAAATTCTAACTACAGTAAAGCTGAGTTATGAGACGACTCAATTCAGAAACTGACTATTTTCAACCATCCCCACAAAAATGATCAAATAATATGATTTAAAACCGCTATATAATGCAACACGACAAAGAAATATGTAATATATATTTGAATCGTTAAGCTCTGGACAAATCCACATTCCAACGTGAAATATAGATACCAAATGAAAGTAGTTTCTGAACGTTTTGATAGTTCGAATACAAATGAACCGAGCATCTGTTTGTCATTGCACCCATTTTGATAGATTAAGTGTTTTTTGGTATAGAATTTTGGTTAGTTACATTGATTTACTAGTAAAGAGACGAGTTATTATTTCATAAGGACTTTTATTTCTGAACTAAACCATTCTTTAGTTAACCGAATAAACATTTCACTCTTCTTAATAATGGAACATAACCAATTTATTAATTTTCAAATATAATTCACAGATTTGAAAACTGGATTCAGTACACTGGACGATTGGTTTAAAGACCTGCGGATACCCGATGAAGACCGTGCCAAAGTTAGTAACTTATTGATACTTATCCTAGTCCAATTCACATTTTCCCCCAAAGATATTAATTTCATTTTTTTATGGTAGCAAGGACTTTTGATGAGTGTCCCCCAATTTTTAATATAGAAATGTTTTATTCGTCAGCAAAAAAAACAAACACTCATGGGGTGACTGACTATAACCACGTCTGCATCCCAGTTTAACTTTATCTGAGAAATGACAGAAATGTCTGGTATTTTCAACCAATCATTTTTTCGATTGAAAAAGTTCTTATAGATGAACCTGACAAATGATCTTCAGGAAATGTAGGGATTTGCGGAGCGTTTAATACACGTAAGCACAAAAACCTAGTTTAAGAATATAAAGCGAAGTTATTGAGTCCGTTTATGAATTGTATGATCACGATGAAGTGATTAGTCACGATCTTTTGTCACGTACATGAAAAGGTAGCTTGTTATTTATCAACAGACTAACAACGGTAAATAGAACCCAAAACTACAAACGGATATGATGTCCAAAGATCAGACTGGGAAGTCAGATCTTAAGTGACTGGAAAATAAGTGACCTACAAGTTAGTTTCTTCCAACCATTTAATAGTTTATTATATTTTTTATACAAACACATCATTTTATTACTTGGAAAATCTATTCAATTGACTGGTGGTAGTCTTTTTTTGTATTTCTAATCGTTCAAAAACTTAATAAATAATACGGTTTCGTGAGTCCCCACCAATCAGCCACATTATATCATATCCTATCCATCGATCGATTGGCGTCCTATTCATTGATTTTGATAATTGAAAATCTCGCCCCATCAAATCACTAAAAACATTCTCCATAACACAAACGTACAACTTTAATAAAACCTCCGACTTGACCTCCCTCCGTAAAACAATCATTGGAAGTATGTCAAGTATCCAAAGTACTTAACCACTAATAGGTATGAATTCTAATCATAAAACAGTGGCGTTAAAAATTTTAAAGACAAAGAAGATTGGCATTTTCAGCCAATAAAAAGTAATTGCAAATTCCAGATGAAGTAGAGGCAAAAGCATCCTATAACTTCACTGTAATTCTAACAAAAAATGTGTTTCCAGTAAATAACGAAATCACTAACATTTATTGTGACATAAGTGAAATAATTAAATCTTTTTTAGCTTCGTCGAAATCACATTGTTGATGAAGAAGACTTTTTAGATGCTATAACGAAAGAAGACTTATGGAAAATGAATTTAAGGTAGGTTTGGTCATGAATGTTGAAGCATGATTCTAGATGTAGTTAGTTTTCGAATTACAGTTAAAGCAATTCTATTATATCATCGTTGAGAAAACGAGGTTGAGCAGAAAATATAAGGTTTATTTGAGCAAGAGATATCATGAGATCTGATCATATATATATACTTGTCAAGACACTTATACAGAAACTAACATGGTCAGTCAGATGAATGGTCAAATAAGCACAGTGATAAGTGAAAATATAAGAGGAAGATGAGATGGTACACCGCCAAATGCATCAAGGATTTCACAAATTGAAATCATGAGTCAGTTGGTGTACGGTGGCGTAACTTCGCGGATTGGTTGAAGTTAGACAGTAACACCGTTGGATGCCGGCTCAGTGGTCTAGTGGTTAAGTGCTCGCGCGCGAAGCCAGTAGGTCCTGGGTTCGAGCCCCGCGTGGTGCGGGATCGTGGATTCGCATTGCTGAGACCCATACTAGGATGAAACGGCCGTCCAGTGCTTCCAGGTTTTCAATGGTGGTCTAGCTTCAACTGACTCATGATTTCAATCTGTGAAATTTCTAAAATCTCCACAAAACCCATTCTGATAAGCATCAAGGATTATCAGGCTAGATTCGGGATGAGAACAAATGGTACTTGTAAACGTGAAGTTTAAGTTATCTGATATCAGCTTGCAAGTAACTAGACGACTTGAACTTCGCAGATCACCTGATCATTCTATCCCATACACACCAACAAATGCAGGTCAAGACAACCAGTGTAGCAGCAGCCTCTGCATCAGTGGGCCTCAGCATACACAAGGGGAAAACCGAGACCCTCAAATACAACATGGGGAGTACCGACCCAATCACATGATGGAGAGACCCCGGAAGAGGTCGAGACGTTCACCTACTGGACAGCATCATCGATGAACAAGGAGAATCGGATGCAGACGTGAAGGCGAGGATTGGCAAGGCAAGGCAAGAACAGTATTTTTAAAGCAATTAGTCCCCTTGATAAACTAAGATAATGTAATAAGACGAAGATTATCAGAATTATGTGATATATTAGCGCAATACATTTCGAACAATCTGATCACACATATACTTGTTAAGAGCATTTATATATAAAAATAAAATGTCAATTAGACTGGAAATGGGGTAAGAGATAAGGATAATAATAAGTGTAATAATAATGTGAACACAATTCCAGAGTGATTAGGTTCCGAATTGTGTTCACATTATTATTATCTCCTCTTACTCCATTTAAGTCTAGTTGACCTTTCATTTATATAAATGCTCTTAACAAGTATATGTGTGATCAGATTGTTCGAAATGTATTGCGCTAATATATCACAATTCTGATAATCTTCGTCTTCTTATTATATTATCGGAAGGACAGTATTCCTACATTTGAAGAACATACGGAACTCAAAACAATTGTCAACAATCTCAAAGTCGAAGTCCTCAATACGAACGTCAAGACAGTTAGTTCTACTGTGTGGAGCTGAAACTTGGAGAACTACCACGACCATCATCAAAAGGGTACAAGTACTGATAAACAATTGTCTACACAAGATACTAAATGTCCGTTAGACGGATATCATCAGCAACAGCCTACTGTGGGAGAGAACAAACCAGCTTCGAGTTGAAGAGGAAATTAGGAAAAGATGTTGGAAGTGGATAAGACATACATTACGGAAACCAAACTGTATCACGAGGCAAAGGCTAATTTGAAATCCTGAAGGGAAACGGAAAAGAGGAAGGCCAAAACACACACTGCGTCGGCAAATGGAAGCAGGAACCAAAAGGATGGGTATTAACTAGAAAGGATTGTGCAGGACAGGTTTTGATGGCGAGTGCTGGTGGGCGGCCTTATGCTCCTCGACGAGGAGTAACAAAATTAAGTAAGTATAGGAATAACTAGTCTGTCTTTACATGGGTATGAAGAAAGAGATTGAGCCAAGTTAAAATCTAGTATTTATTGAGTTAGGAGAATCTAAAAACTTTGATGGATAATAAATAAACTATTTTACTACTGTAACTGAATAAATGAAAGCATGATACTATTAAAAAATGTCATATAATCGTGGAATTATTTGCGATGTGCTCGTGACGAACGGCATTTGAAACACTATTCGGCAAGTAATACAGCATAAGCATGTAAAAGCAAAACAGTACTAACAACAGGCTTTCCAAGTGTCTAAATTTAACTGACGGCACTTTTGTTTTCACAATCATTTCAGTGGTGGGACAGTTCTTCGCCTTTGGAGAAACATACAGAAAATCCGTTCAATGGAATAATGTCTTCATGAAAAATTTCATTAACTCTGGTTACAATTCTTCTACAGAGCCCATATTTTTACAAAGAAATTTTATCTCACACCTTGATACCAAAACCTGAAATGTGCCTTTATTTTATAGTAGTATTTTAAAACCCATAATGCTCAAATATCAAAAAAACGTTACACCGGATGCAGCTTAAAATACTGTTTTGATTTCTAATAAATGTCTCGTCATTGGTAAACAATGAAAACATAATAGAAAGTCTCCCATCAAAGATGTTTAATTTAAGCAGTAAACATATATGATGTTTTATACACTGATATATTTTTAGCATTAACACATGGAAATTTAGGTTATCATTCGATTATGATTTGTTAATTGAATGGAAATATTACTAGAACGATAGCTGAAAACGAACCGCAAATCAGGGAACAAATAGTACAAAACACTAGAAAAGAAACATTGAATCATTGTTATACGATGCAGAAATCAAGAGAAAACAACCTGAAACCTAAGAAAATTTCACGTCATTATTGAATATAACAATTCATGGCTATTAAACAGTACGTGTTAATGAGACAGAGTTGTGTAGTGGTTGTATTTCTTCAACATAATCCAAGCCTAAGCTCTGTTCTGAATCAACAGTTTGGTCGACTGTATCATCTGCCACCTAGAAAGAAAGAACAATGAAATATATACATGGTTAAAGACTTTGTATTGGGGTGAGATAGGATAATTCAGCAAAACAATAGGCATAGACTGATGACAAATATCAAACAATAATAAACATGAAGCATGAATTCGATATATCGACTATTCCTATAAAATAGACACGGATAGGATTAGTCTCTTGCTATCGAGATAAGCATGATAATTTTCAGACATGGCCAATTTACCTACAAATCTCAATTCATCTGTTAAGGTCGAAAAGTCGAATAATCAATTTATTCTTTAAAATTAGTATATTACTGCTCCTGGTGGAGAAGATTTGTAGTTCAGGTGGATGATTTTGATGGAGTTTTATTCTCTGAGCTGGATGGTCTGGTTGTGGAGCTTCCAACAAAAACAAAGAAGTAAACAATGACAAATTTAAGGTTAATAAGAACAAATCAACATCTAGGTGTACAGAACAAGCTGTGAAACGCATATGGAGAAATTCGAAGAATTCACTTCTATTTGAAGTTTATGCTGATGTCGTTCAGAAGAACGATGAAAGCTTCACGACCAAACCATCTAGCTCAGAGAACAAAACTCCATCAAAATATTACTGCTCCACAATAAGTCTTAAAATTCAAACAATCAAATCATCTTTAGGGCTTACTGTAAACGTCAGAGACAAACCACATTCATGACCAACTGACCAGATATTAATACCTCATTAGGTTCCGGTACAAAGATATGACACTATCCTTGACCTAGGGTATACATTCGAGATTCAGGCCAACACACACATCAAACACGATTCGGTGATCCAGAATCGATGTCGTAACATAACATCCAATTACAAGGATAGGATCTATCGAACCCATAGGAAACATTTGTCATACCAGATAAGCGAAAATTTGCAAAAACGCTAAAGATTCTACGTTTAGTTAAAAATCCGGCAAGAGAATCCAGTGAAATAAAGCGTTGACACTAGATGAACTTTTTGTAAGCACATTTAATAGGTATCACCCATGATTACTGTAATTTCACCAAAGCTACCATTCTAATACATTCTTTTATCAGGCTTTACATTAAAGGGAACCAATATTACTTTATACTTGGTCCTGTACTGTTCCAGATGGATTGATAAATGGAAACTGTAAATGTTAGACACAGAAACAGTGCTTTATGCTCAAAATGTCATTAATTTAGATTTTCACTAAGATTCTGCCAGTCTGTTAACTGTATAATTGAATTGGGTCAAAAATGCAAATGACTAAGGGATGCTTCTTATGTGGAACTGATCTATAACAAATACGTGACGATATTTCACTGATGGCAACCACATGAACTCAAGAGGACAAGAGTTTCAAAACAGTTATCACGCTTCAAGAAAATATAATTATATGCATAAACATCACAGTATATATGGTATTGTGCAATAGAAAGCAATCAAATATAATAGGTTTGAATTACGTGACGTTGCCAAAACACAAGGTTCACAATAATATCGAGGTATGGAAAGCTTACGGTAATAATTACTGTTATAGTAACACCAAAAACTGTTGACCATAATAGACTCTCTACTAGTCAACAGGTATGAATGTGAAGGATATTCCAGGATATACACCAGAAAAGTATTGCATAGCCACAACCACCCTCAGTAAAATATCGTAAATACGTCTACCAGTTTGAAATGTTAAGTTGAAAAGTCTCCAAACACGGAAAGATAGGGATACACACCATCGCCTCTTCGTCATATCTGCCTGCGCTCCCACTAACTACAGTTCGGACAAAGTGACAGATAGGTTTTATAGAAAACTTTCTGCTCTTCTAAAAAACCAAACTATCGGGCGTAGTGATAATAGCAGGAGACTTTAGAGACAAAGCGCTTGGTTTAAATCGAGGTGAAAGACACTTAGGTGGGTTTCACAGTGTCGCAGCTCAGCGAATAGGCAACGACGATCGGCCGCTGTGACTATGTTCACACAACCATTTATTCCTGTTAAGCACCACCTTTAAGCATTAAGAGACATTGTCAGTCATGGAGACCCCCGCAGTCGACTCGGTGATAGACGTAAATAGACCACATCGCCATCAGCCGTTGTCGGAAAGGCTCGATAGACGACCGCCACTCATTCTGAAGAATATGTCTAGATCATGCTCTGGTACTGACACATGTCTGTTTGTGACAGACTGAATGCGGAAAAACCATAGCAAGAAAACTCCTTCAAGTTCAACTTAACGACGAAAATGTCAAAAGAATATTTCATAAACAAATGGGGAAGCAGTTGAATGATCGCCAAAGTGACCTATGCTTACCTTGATGTCGGTTGGGATGATATCCAGATAGCTGTGAAATTATCAGTGATATCTTTGGGTGACTATAGCCAAAAGATTAAGGAAAATCAGTGGATTTTAGTAGCATCTACTTAAATGATAGATGCTCAAAACTCATCCCGTTAGGCTCCGAATATGATGTAGAGCAAAGACAACTTAAAGTTTACGCAATGATCGTGAACAGTGATGCGAGGATAAGCCAAGAGCAACAGAAAAGACGGTGGTGATATGCAGCAGTTGGTAACTTTTAAGATATCAAAGAAACGGGTAGTAAATATTCGGGAGTCACTAGGACTATTTCTGAAAAAGATGAAACAATGATTTACTATCAACCCTGAGGACTGCGACGATGGGTAGGACGCTTTAAGGAAAAGTTTAACTGCTTTACATTCACCCTTCAGTTACCTGCTTTTACCAAGCAACCTAACTGGAATGTCAGCATAAGCCTCCGACTCTCAAAGAAGTGGAGGAATTCAAAACTAATCTAAGAAAAGAGACAGCAGCAGGCCCTGATGGATTAGCCCCTGAGATTTTTAAGGATGGTGGTCCAGTTTCAGCTGTTAGATTGACTGAGTCCTTAGCTAGAATCTGGGGAATGAACGTAATCTCATATAACTGGTCTCAATTGCCGATCGTCCCAGTCTATAAGAAAAGACAAAAATCCTCATGTGACAATCACAGAAGAATCAGTTTGGTTAATATAGTGCCTAAAATATTACCCTCAACAATACTTTGACGGCTAACTAGAGCTCGTAAAGAGCGAACTCGAGAAAACCAGGTTAGTTTTAGACCTGGACATAGATGTATGGAGGAAATATCCGCACTTGCCCAGGTTCCGAGGCACAAACATACCCACCGACTCGCAACCATAGCTACATTTCTCAACATTAAGGCATTTGTAAACCGAGAGGTTTCATGACAGTGTCTGACAATGAAAGATGTACCATAGAAGTACATTATTTTGTACAGGCTCTCTATTCGAACACTACTGGTCGAATAAGAGTTGTCATCAGAATTTATTACTGGAAGTGTTCTTCCGGGTTGTCTTTTTTTCCTCATCTTTGTCTTTGTCACATAAATACTTCTAGAAGTACCTCTCTCGTCGTCTAACTTTCAGGGGTTGATATACCAGGAAATTAACTTGTTGACCTATAACACGTAGATAATATAGTTCTGTTTGATGAAGACACTGACAAAATGCAGTCTTCTGACCACCTTAAGCAACAATGCAACCATAATTGGGATGAGGTTCTCTCTTTCTGTCCAAATGTAAGATGCCACTTCAGGATTACTTATTTATTTAGTTGAACACACAAATATTGATAAAAGGAGGCACTATATATTCATTTCCAAGTCAAAGGCCGAGTTTAGTGCCCAACAATCTGCCCTGTTCTACTTTATGAGCTTCTTTGAACCACTGCTCATGTATTTTAGGACCATCAAGTTAGCCATCCAGAAGCTAGATGGAGTACAAGATAAGGATGGCAAATTGATTGAGGGGGTAGTGAGTTTTTATCGACTAAGATGATCAAGACATCTGCTACGTATACCCAACCACCGAATACCTCGATGGGAAATGGTGGTTGATGTAGAAGGTTGAAAGAAAAGTTGGGACGGCCAAACCAAGACATGAAATCAGTCCATGAAGACACTGACTATTGGACAGGTTAGTCAGTCATATGACGAGACTGAAATTCAACAACTGCTATACACTTAGACGTCTGCGATTGTATCAGAACAGAGAAATTACGTAAACTGACAAGTGGTGTTATTCAGGAATGTTTAATCTTGTACTCATGACAGCTGTCACAAATTTTCCATAGAAATACAGCTTTCTGTTTCTCAATTCTCATAGCTTGTGAAATTACTAAGATATAATCTGACAAAGTTTCGCTAATTCGCACTACTGTACCAGGTTTGGAAAGGCAATTTAATCACTTATTTTATCTGGATGGTTACCATGGCACAAACATAACTGAAATAAATGGTATTAGTAAATTTATGTTGATTTTATTTTTAAAGTTGCATCAGTAAGTCTATTAGAAGGAACTACATTACAAAACAATGGAAGTTTACCGTATATAACGTGTTTATTTAAAAGTGGCTGACGATTGGAGAACAAACACTTGGACCACAAACATATTCACTGTTTCCCAATTGACGAGTAAGCAACTTTCAGTTCAGGTGGTAATTAGTTATGAATCAGCAGTGACAGTTATATTGCTTGGTTGGTTACAGTTTAAATGAACATGATGTAAGTCGGATAATTAGTTATTTAATCAGTTAGGGTCCGTATAACACCTAAAACCGTTAT